TCTCTGTCTATCAGATCTAGTCCCTTAAATCTATTTCTCACTTCCACTGTATAGTCATAAGGGATTTTATTTAGGTCATACCTGAATGGTCTAATGGTTTTCCCTACTTTCTTCAGTTTAAGTCTGAATTTGGCAATAAGGAGTTCATGATCTGAGCCACAGTCGGCTCCCGGTCTTGTTTTTGCTGACTGTATAGAGCTTCTTCATCTTTGGCTGCAAAGAATATAATCAGTCTGATTTTGGTATTGACCATCTGGTGATGGATGACAAACCTAAACAGGTATTAAAAAGCAGAGACATCACTTTGCTGACAAAGGTCCATCTAGTCAAAGTTATGGTTTTTCCAGTAGTCATATATGGATGTGAGAGTAGGACTATAAAGAAGGCTGAGCGCCAAAAAAGTGATGCTTTTGAACTACGGTGCTGGAGAAGACTCTTGAGAGTCCCTTGGACTGCGCGGAGATCAAAGCAGTCAATCCTAAAGGAAATCAACCCTGAATATTCATTGGAAGGACTGATGCTGAAGCTGAAACTCTGATACTTTGGCCACCTGATGTGAAGAGCTGACTCATTAGAAAAAACCCTGATGCTGGGAAAGACTGAGGCAGGAGAAGGGGACGACAGAGGACAAGATGGTTGGATGGCATCACCAACTCAGTGGACGTGAGTTTGAGCAAGCTCCAGGAGATGGTGAAGGACAGGGAAGCCTGCCGTGCTGTGGTCCATGGGTTCGCAAAGAGTCGGACACGACTGATCGACTCAGCGACAACAATGATTATATAACCTCCCCCTACTTACCAGGGAAGGGGGCACAGTTCTTGAGGTGCTAGCCTACAGGGTTCCCCCTTTGCCTGGAAAAGTAACAAAGCTACTCTATTTCTCTCAAAAAAAGAAAGAATAATTATGTAACAAGACAGAGGTGTTAGCTCCTGTTACAATGGCAATCTTATGGCAGTACAAATGTATCAGATCAACATCATGCACACCTTAAACCTATATTATGGTATATGCCAATCTTATCTTAATTTCTAAAATAATTTAAAATTTTTAAAATCATCTAGACACTGAAAGGATTATGTACTGAACCCAGTAAAAAAAGAGAAGTGATTGCCAAGCACTGGGGGAGATGGTGGTGAGGGGAAGTGGTGGTGGTGAGGGGGGGATAAGGAATTCTTAGGGCAGTGAAACTATTCTGTATAAAACTGTAATGGTGGATGCATGACATACATTTTTCAAAACTCACAGAATCTGCAAAGCAAAAAGTGAACCCCACAGTAAACGGTGCACTGTAGTTAATAATAATGTATTGATATTATCTCATCTGTTATAACAAGTGTACCACATTAAGGCAAGCTGTTACTAGCAGGGGAAATTGGGTCAGGGGTGGGGGTGAGCGGGTGTATGGGACTCTGTACTTTCTACTGGATTTCTCTGTCAACCTCAAACTGTTTCAAACAATAAAGTCTGTTTGTTTTGTTTTGTTTATTCTTTTTAAAGTCTGTTTGTTAAAACAACAACAACAAAACCTTGACACCCAGGTTACATCCCAGACCAATTAAATCAGAATCTCTAGGGGTGGATGGTTTTTTAAAAGCTCCCTAGGAGGGACTTCCTGATGGTTCAGTGGTTAAGACTCTGTACTCCCAATACAGGGGGCCTGGGTTTGGTCCCTGGTCAGGGAACTAGAGCTCATATGTCACAAGGAAGATGCCATGTGCCACATAAATGAGACCTAGCACAGCCAAATAAATAAATAAAAATAGATATTTTAAAATAATTAATTTTTTTAAAAAAGCTCCCTAGGAAATTCTAGCATGTAGCCACATTGATAACTGCTGTTTAGGCTGAACTGGGAACGGGAGAGGGCAAACCACAGCTGGGAGCCCTCTCTCCCTTTTGGGGTGTAGTTTCTCAGGAAGGTAGGAGGAAGTTGGCAAGATTAGCTGAAAGAAGACCAGAGCCCCGGAGAGTATGCGGATCCCCTCCTGGGAAAGCGCCTCGCTTCAGGGCTGATCCCCTGAACCTGGGGTAGACTGAGGGAGGAGAAGTTTAACCAGCCCCTTCCCATGTTTCGGTTCCCTGTTGTTGTGAGATCATTCCTTCAGTGTGGACCTGTGCCTGGGCCAAGGGGGTGGGTCTTGAGACGAAAAGACCAGCGGGTCAACAGGCTGTCAGAGCAGAGGATCAGCCAAGAGCATGTACTGTGAGTAGGACCGGCAGTGACCAGCCCTGCTGGGGACCGGGCAGAGTGAACCAGGCAGCAAGAGGGAAGATGGAGCCTGTGCAGAGGGTACCTGAGAGAGAAGGCAAAGGGGGTTCTTTCTGAGTGCCTGGGAATGCGGAGCAGCAGCCTTCAGAGAGCCAATGGAGTAGAAATTGGATAATGGTTAAGGGGAGACTTGAGCTAGTTAGAAGGCTGAGGAGCAGGAGGTGATGACCAGCAAAGGCCAGAGATACACAGGCCAGGGAAGGGGCTTCCTAGGGATCAGGTGGAGAGAATGGGATTCCTGAAGTGGGGGATGGGTGGGAGGGAAGCCCTGTTCCTGTGATTTAGTTGAAAGATGCTTTTTGAATGGTCTTCACCGTGGCAGATCAGGGAGTGACACAGTCAGCGGACAAGGCTGCAACCCCTGCGCCCTGTTTCCAGTCTTGTAGGAGATGGACCAGACACCAGATCACATGCCAAGGGTGCCTCTGGGACAGTGGACCAGGGGAGACTTCCTGGAGGAGGTGACTTGGAAATGGTGGGGGTCTAGGCAGGGAAGGCAAGATGGGAAGGGCAAGGAGGTTGACCACAAAGCTGGCACGGGCTAATGATAAACTGTCAGCTGCCCTGGAGAGTGAGAGGACCCAGACTTTGTTCCCTGGGTCATCCTAGCTGGAGAAATGGATGTGTCTGAGACCCCAGGGGGCAGATCCAGGGGTGTGTGTGTGCAGGAAGGGACAGGAACAGGGACAGGGACAGGGACAGGAAGTGGTCATTTAAGCCATGGACACCCAGACTATTAGGAGGCTGATGCAGTGCAGGGAGCGACCAGGGCTTTGTTCTGCAGGTGGGACAGAGGACAGGCTCCTCCCAGCCCCTCCTGGTCTCCTTTTGGGCCCCAGTTGACTCCTAGGGCCCAGTACCACCCACCACATTGTTCCCTGGCCTCCCAGTGGCCCAGAAGGCAGCCCCATAAATGGGTCTGCTTGTTTGCTGAGGGGAGGTTACGTGGATATGCCAGTGTGTGTTTAGGGGAGTGATTCTAGAACCTGTGAACTGTTTATATGGGTCCCAGTATGCATCTGGATGTTCCCTGGGAATATTGGGCCTCTCAGTGGCCCTGACCACCCATCCCTCCTCTCCTTCAGGCTGAGATCATATAGGATGATAGAGGTTGGAGGGGAGGAAAGACCAGGCACAGTGCCTGTGGAATTCGGAGCCCAAAGACATTCTCTGCAAAAAATCAGGGCCTTCCAGGGTAAAGCTCAGACTTGCCCCAAACCTTCAGCTGGGCACCCTGGCCTGGACTCACCTCCACCCTGTGGTTAGGCCTGGAAGTGCAACCCCCATCTCTGATTTTTCCTAGTTCTTCCAGGTGTGCAGGGCTCTTGGCTTTCCTGACAGCTGCCATGGGAAGACCTGGGTGGGGGTGAGGGCAGGAGACCTGGGCTCTAGCCTGGCTCTTCCCTAACTCACTAATGTGACTGAGCCTCAGTTTCCTCACCTTAGTATGCCACACAGAGTGGTTGTCCTCGTGGGGAAACGACATCGCAGTCCCACTGAAAGCTCCTGGAACAGGTGACAAACTGGACTGTCAGACCCAGGCAGGAGATTTGCTGACCAGCACTGGGGATAAACAAGCCTGAGGATTTTTCCAACCGCAGAACAGGCCTTGGAGAGTGGGGCCAACAGCGACGAGCAGAGGCGCGATGGGGGATGGCCACATCCGGGAGGAGTGGGTGAGTCTGAGGAGCCAGGAGTGGTTGGAGAGGGGGTGGGTGGGGCATGGGGCAAGACAGCATACAGGGAGGCCTTCGGGGCTGATGGCGATGGCCTCAAACCCCAGGCTGAGCACCGTAGGGAGCTCGGAAGGGTTCTGAGAGGGGTGGGTGTGGTCAGGTGGGTACCCAAAGATCACTCTGGCTGCTTGTAAGAGGATGGATTGGAGCACTGACCAAGGCCAGACACCAGTGAGGAAGTGAGATATGGTGGGTCCAAAACTGAGGGATGGGGTAGATCACTTTTTAAAAAAATATGTATTGGCTGCCCCAGGTCTTAGCTGTGGCATGTGGACGTTTGGTTGTGGCTTGTGAGATCTAACTCCCTGATCAGGGATCGAAGCCACACACTCTGCATTAGGAGGGGAAGCCTTAACCATTGGACCACCAGGGAACTACCCCAGTGATGACTATTCTCATCATGGTCATGGAGAGGCCTCCTACAAGAAGGGAGCCACGGGGTCCAAAACGCTGGTGAAAGTAAAAGTCGCTCAGTATGTCCGACTCTTTTTGACCCCATGGACTGTAGAGTCCATGGAATTCTCCAGGCCAGAATACTGGAGTGGGTAGCCTTTCCCTTCTCCAGGCGATCTTCCCAACCCAGGGATCGAACCCAGGTCACCCGCATTGCAGATGGATTCGTTACCACCTGAGCCAGAAAGGAAGCCAAAAAGCTGGTACCAGTGCCCAAGGCTAAGGGGCACCAGGACACTGGCCCGTGTCACAGGGACTCCTGTGGGTGCCCACCTGGGACTTGAGCCCCATGAGGAGGAGCACCGGCCTCCAGGACCAGACTTTGGCCTCCCTGGGCCCCGTGAAACAGGCAGGATGTCCTCAGGGGCTGCTGATTGGCTCCCAAACACCCTGTTCTTTCCAAGCGGGAGCCGGAGGACCCACCAAGGAGACTGACCCACATCCTGAACTGTAGCCCCTCACTCTTCAATTCAACCCTCTCGGTGTAGCACTGGTGGTGTCCTGGTGAGCACAGCTGCCTTCCCAATCAACCCTCCCTCCAGCCCTCCAGCCCTCCTCCACACTCAGAGTTCCTCCCCCTATTTTCCTACTCAGACCCCTGCAGAAAAGGTAGCAAAGTCAGCTGGTGAGAAAGAACACATCCAGATGCAGAAAATGTACATACAAGTCTTTTTTTTTTTTTTAACTCAAGAAAGGGCTTTTACTGATTTTAACTCACTTCCTGGGAAGTTAATTTTTAAAACACTCTTATGGAGTTTATCCATCCCTTGTGCTACATTCAGAAACAATGATGCCAACCCAAACCCTCAGCAATGGGGTGAATATGGGCCCACCCCAAAGAAGCTGCATCCACCCCCAATGAAGCTGGGTCCACCCCAATGAAACTGGACCCACCCCAATGAAGCTGAGCCCCAGTGAAGCTAAGCCCACTGTGAGCCTGCAAGGTGGTGGTGGGGTGCCCTTGAAACCCCTGCCCTCCAGGTCCCAGCACACAGATGCTGAAGGAAAACATGCTGCTCTGTGAATGGCCTCCCATGAACTCCATAAAAGTGTTCTGAAGAACAGTACCAAATCATCATTTAAGCCCTGGGTTACAATGACTTAGTGCAAAGGAGCAGGGAGAAACATGGACCCAGAGACAACGGGCCGCATTCTGCTCAGAGCCTTAAATAAACAGAGAAAGTATATTACAGATGCATGTGCCAGTGCAAGACATGCTGTGTGCAGCAGATGGGCGCACACGGCGCGTGTGCGGAGGAGCGAGGTACACCCACAGGCACAGAGAACACGCGCGAGGCACCGTTCCTCCAGCCCCGCCTTCTTTCCTCTCGACAGAGCGCTCCTGCCACACGGACCCAGTGCGGGCGACTGAAACCCCTTGTTTGGCTCATGTATTCGGGGCAGGCATCCAAGTCCTGCTTTCCTTTCCTTCCGGGGGTCAGTCTCTTGAGCATTTGGTCAGTCCAAGGCCAAGCCGCCAGCCAGGCACTGATCCCAGAGAGAAGTCAGCTCCAGCTCTGAGCAGGCGGGATGACGACTGTCGGGGTGAGGCAGTAACGAAACGCCCACCTCTCCGTGAGCAGCTGCCTGCGTGCACACCCCACCAGGGTTAGGCCTCTAGCGCAGCCTCTAAGCTGGGCAGTTGGTCCTTCGGCCACTGGAATGTGAGGGCAGCTTCTGGGGCCAAATGGGGAGGCCGGTGCGGGACTGATGATCTGATTTCTGTGACTTCACCATCTGCAAGGCCACAGGCCTGTGAGCCCAGGGCCCTCGGTCAGTGTCAGCCCTGGTGTCTTTCTGCAGCCGCAGCTCCAGGGAGCCACCGCGGGAGAGAGGGAGGCGGGCAGGGAAGAGTGATGCTCTTGGTTCAGGCCTCTCTGCTCCAAGCCTCAACTTGGCCCCTTCTGCGGAGAGGGCTGAAACACGATCCAGGACGGTCAGTCCAATCCACTTGGTGGCCAAGGAATGGTGGGCACGCTGGGGACCACCCACAGCTCATTAGGTGTTCCCAAGCAGGGCTGTGTACCTGCCTCCCCCACTAAATGACAAAAGATAACGAGAAAGGAATCTGGATTCTCCAACAATGGCCCCAACCCCAGCGAGGCCCAGGACTACCCACCAAGGACTCAGAGCCTCCACGCCAGTGTTCTCCGCAGACACGGGCTCCGACAGCGCCCCCCACCCCGCGCCCCGCCCCGCCCCGCCCCAAGGTGGGCAGCCGGAGCCCCTCCTCCCACGTGCGGCCGCGGAGCCACGCCCACCTGGCCTCTTCAGGCTCCCCGCTCAGCTTCTCGGTTTCCTGCCTCCTGCCCCTGGGCCTTGCCGACCGGCCCGGCGGGGTTTCTAAGGCACCACGGGCACCGAGCTTCCGCAAAGGATGAGTCCCGCCAGGGAGAGCCAGGACGAAGAGAAAGGCCTTGTGGGAGCCCTACCCACCCCCTACACCCCAGTGACACACATTCCGATCCTGTCCCTGGACACGTGCGCGCGGAGGTCATGCAGACGGGGGAGGAGGGCCGGGAGAGGGGCCACAGTCCTCAGCCCCCTGCCGGCAGGGGCGGCTGTTGGCATGAGGGCGGTGGGCCTTTGGAGGCGCGGGATGAGCGTGCTGCCGGGCGGCCCTGGGCGCATGCGGGGGGCTCAGGACGCAGCCTCGTCTTCTTGGACGCCGGGCAGCTCTGGGCTTTTGCCTCCTTCGCCAAACCCATCTTTCCTGTTCAGGGGACACCAGGGGCAGAGGGACCTCAGAGGTCAGAACATGCATGCAGGAGGACACTCTTATATACACTCATAGGCATTTTTATCCACATCTCTCAAATCCCCCAAGCTCATCTCAGTCTCGCCGCCCCTGCATTGTGGTCCCTTGCTGGTTCCCACCCATAGTCTCAGCCCACAACCCTCCATGGCTCCCTATTGCTTGGAAAGGAAGTCTGGACTTCCCACCCTGACTTCTGGAGCCTTGCCAGATCTGACCAGATATGGCCTGGCTCAGGCCCCATGAACCAGGGTAGAAGGCTTTGGTTTTGCTTTTTTTTTTTTTTTTCTTTGTTCACAGGACAGATTCTACTCATCAGTCTTGGGATTCTGTCCCATATTCAATAGATTCCTGTTATCATCCTCTCCCCAACCCCATGCCAGGGCCTTTAAAAAAAAAAAAAAAAAAGATTAATAAGTGGGTTTTGATGTCTTTAAAAAGGATACACCCCATTTTATTCTACTATAGAGTTATCCCAAAACGTAAAGAACAGAGTCAGTCAAGGATAATTGTTGGGACTCTGATGAGGTAAAACCTGCTTTTCAAAACTAAACCTGTGACATGTGTGCATGCTAAGCTGTTTCAGTCATGTCCAACTCTTTGCAACCCCATGGACCATAGCCCACCAGGCTCCTCTGTCCATGGGCTTCTCCAGGCAAGAATACTGGAGTAGGTTGCCATGTCCTTCTCCAGAGGATCTTCTCTGCCCAGGGATTGAACCTGTGTCTCCTGCAGCTCCTGCATTGCAGGCAGATTCTTTACCACTGAGCCACTGGGGAAACCAGTGTCACAGAATTATTTAATTTTATAGCTAGGAAGTATTAAGCCCCATACTCTCACAGTCCAGATGAAGGAACCGACCTGTCTCCCCATTAACGTGTCCATAAAAGAACAATGACTGCCTTGCTCGGTTGTACCCTTGGCATTCAGCCCTGTGCCCATCATTGACCTGGGCTGGATGTCATTGACCTTAGCCTGTGACTGGCCTGTTCTACCACCAGGGGGCGCTGAGTCATAGGCACTGAGCTAGAGACCAGATGTGGAGGTTTGTTCCTCTGGTCTTGGTTCTGCCTGCTGTCCAGCCGTAATTAGTAATAGCTTTCTCTTTCACTCTCACAAGTGGCTCCATCTGGATGGTAGATATGTGGTCCCCTACACGAAACCCAATGCCAGCATTGTGGCCTGCAGATCCAGAGGAGGCCAAGGACTCGATCTCCCAGGCCTGGCCACTTCACAGGGAACAGGCAGTAAGCTGAGGACAGCCAAGGCCTCTCCCAGGCACCCCCCCACCCCTCCTTTGTCAAGAGGAGGGCACCAGGTTGGTATGGGGACCTCCCTGAGTGTGAGCAACCTCTGTCAGGGAGGAGACACCAGCTCGTCCCCAGTGAAGGGACTCAATAGTCTGAAGAGCCCACTTACAAGAGGGTGGTCTTACATGAACAAAACGCACATCTGTGCCCCGGATGGCACAAGCGAAACTGCCCCTTCCTGAGAGGCTGAGGTACCTGGACGGTGGCTGCTGCTCACCTCCCCAGGGAGCACGGCTTCCTGCAGCCTGTGAAGGGGCTGCGGGGAAGAGGGGCTGGGCCTCCCCACATGCTCTTCAGAGAAGGCGTGCTCCCCAAGGCCCAGGACCCCTCACTGCCTTCTCCCTGCGGGCCTCTGCATAAACTCCAGCAGGGCTCGCCAGCACCCCAAACTGACTATTTCAGTGGAAGAAGGCCTAAGTGCTGAGGACAGGGCTCACGGCGGTTTGGGGAACTGCTTTCCAGCCCTCTCCCAGGAGGCGGTGAATGCACAGGCCTGGCTGTCAGGACGGAGCCTGCAGCCATGGGAGTTCCTTCTTCCTGGCCCGTCGTCATCGGTCAGCCTGTCCTTACTTGCTGGATAAGCGTTTCCAAAGTGCTGACTGGGCACACGGCCTCAGCAATGACCGGAGATTGCACAGGCCACTCAGAAAAGCAGCGAACACTCCCCCAGACCAGGAGGAGGCAGTCCCTGCCTCCAAGACAAGCCAGCCTTCTACAAAGAGCAGACCCAAGGCCCGTCCGGAAGCCTCAACTAGGCTGCCAGGGACTGAGAATGCAGGTGCAGACGGGGCCTGCTGTGAGGCCTGACTGAGTCTCCAGGCTCGGGGCTCAGCCTGGTGATGCTCAGAGTGAGGGGATGTGCCAGAGCCCTCACCCCACCCCAGGGAGCACCTGGCAGTCCTCAGCCCACCAGTACTTACGACAGTAAGCTTCCTGGGGCGGACATGGATCGCTCTTCCCTCCGTGCCTGGGGCTCGAATGGGTTGCCAAAGGAACGCTTTCTCAGCATGGACTTAACCAGGATCTAGGGAAGACATATCAGCATGAGGAACACAGGCCCCCAGGTTCCCAGACACATGGGCAGCCTCCACCCTGACTTCCAGACGGGGAGGCGGCTGGGTGGCCCTGCTGAGGTTCCCTTTCCTGGGGCAGGAGAAGGAGGAGCATCCCAAGCAGAGGAAAGGGCGGGAGCATGGAGGGAAGGTGGTTGAGGGTGGATTCTGGAAATGGTGAGGAGCCTGGTGCATGGGGGAGGGACACCAAGGCCAGAAGCAGACCAGGAAGGGTCTGGAACACCAGGCAGAGGGCACAGGGAGTGAAGTGAGGAAATGCCTTCTGGCTACGCAGGAAGGATGGAGTGGAGGGGAGGCTGTCCTGGGCTGGGCAGTGGTGTGGGGGGGTGTCGACAGGGGACAGGCCCCTACCCCCGGCTCCGTGACTTTGTCCCTCCTCCCGCTATAAGGACAGCTCCATCGCCCCTGCCCACGTGCACACCAACTCTCACACATGTGCATAACGCCAAGGGGGTGCCTTCATCTCTTCCTTCCTTCTTTCCATCAAGTGTTATATTGACCGCCTACATATGCCAGACACGATTCTAGGCACAGGGACCACACTGAGTCAAATATTCTTGCCCTCATGGAGCTTATATTCTAGTTGTGGAGACAGGCAGTAAATAAGACAGATGAGTAGAACATATGTTCATTTGTGGTAAGGGCTCAGGTGGAAAGAATAAAACAAGGAAGAGGGATAAGGTAAGACAAAGAGGAGGATGGAATTTTTGATAAGGGGGCCAGGAAGGGTCACGTCTCACGACAAGGTTACTCTGGAGTGAAGACCTGGAGAGAGTGAGGAAGCGGCTCTGTGGACACGGGGGCAGGAGAGTCCCAGTCAGAGGGAAAGGACGTTCAAAGGCACTGGGGCAGCAGCTTCCGTGGTGCATGGTTGGAACCAAGAGAATGGAGGGAAGAGAGGAGGTTGGCAGGGAAAGGGGGGGCAGGAAGGTCTGTGCAGGGTCTGAGCTGAGAGGTGACATGACCAGGTCAGCAGACCACCCTGGCTGCTGAGCTGAGCATTTACTGTAGGTGGGGGGCAAGAGTGGAATCAGGGGGACAAGCTGGGAGGCAATTCCAGTGGTTCAGGAGAGAGACAATGGTAGCTAAGATGAGGGATGTGGCAGTATGGACCCTATGGGAGCTGATCATTCCAGGGACTCCATACAGCCCCGGAGCTCTGTAGACTGCAGGGACCTTTAGCCCGCTGGCCCTAGCTGGGCCTGGACCCAGTAGGGAGGCATGAAGTGCACAGACCAGACCCCACCCCCGGCACAGGCCCCAGCTCGCTCTCCTGGCATTGTGCTCACCCTGACTCACCACGAAACCTCAGCACAAGGCAGGCCATGACTCTCAGTGTCCCCTGCCCCTCACTTCAAAAAAAAACAACAGCTGGCCATCAAGGGCTATGTTAATAACTTCCAACCGTTAAAGTGGAAGATGTCCAGAGGAGGATGAGAAAACCTAAAACTTGACAGGAGAGCGGGGGAGCACACAGGTGGTGTCCGCCCGATGTGTGGGGGCCCCAGGGTCACTTCTCCAAATCAAAGGCATCCGAGGCCTTTCCCCTGTCATGTCCTTGGCACCTAGTCCAATGTCTGGAAAATAGCAGAAGTTCAATAAACCTTAGGAAGGAAGGAAGGAAATGCTTCTCCAATCGTAGTGAATGTTGATACTCAGCAAGGGCCAGTATATTTAAATCATTCACTTTCTTCACGACGCCTCCTGGTCTGCCTACCATGAGACTGAATAGCGTGACCTTGTTCCTGTGGGTCTGCAGTGGCCTCGGGCCCAGCAACGGGGCTGGCCAACCAGGAAGCCGTCAGTCCCATCACAGGGCCCAGCACACAGCAAGTCTCACGTGGTGCCCACGCCCGCCACCAGGCCCTCCCAGGAGTTGGCAACTTCTGCCCCCATCCACTTACCACCGTGGTCCAGCTGGGTATGAGCCTGACCGAGTTCTTCACCTCCTCCTCCGTCACCTCCACCATGCTGCAGTGCTCCTCCTCCGAGGGAAGGGGCTCCTCCCCATTCTTGGTCACCCAGGGGTGCAACTGTGGAGGAGAGGACGGGGAGGGTCAGGGCCCGGTGACAGATGCCGGCCAGCAAAGGACCTGGGCATTCCACCAGCAGTCCCCTTGAGGGTCCCAAGGCCACAAGCCCCAACCCAGCACACACATGCCTCCAGGGTAAGGCTCCCCAAACAGGGAAACCAAGGCCTGTATTCTGCGGCCCAGCCCAGCCCAGCACCTTGATGTCTGGCACCCCAATTCTCGTTTCGGGGTTCTTGTCTAGCATCTTCAGGATTAAGTCTTTGAGCTCGTCGCTGACCTTTGGCCTAAAGAAAAGGAAGGAAGGAGACAAGGGAGAGACAGCTGATGGTCCTTTCCTTCCCAACTCTCCACCCTACCCTCATCTGGGCTTCCCTGAATTGACACATGGCGTAGTGGTAAAGAACCCGCCTGCCGATGCAGGAGATGCCAGAGACGCAGGTTCAATCCCTGAGTCAGGAAGATCCCCGGGAGTAAGAAACGGCAACCCACTCCAGTATTCCTGGAAGATTCCATGGACAGAGGAGCCTGGCGGCCTATAGTCCATGGGGTCACAAAGAGTCAGACATGACTGAGCATACACACACAAGGCAGAAACACTGCTGACCCTCAGGTCTCAGAGAGCAGGACGGGAGGGATGCCCCTGAGGCACCAAGATGGAAGGAGAGAGTTTCAGAACAAGGGTATGGATAGCCTTCTCCCCTGAGTACCACGTAAAGCAGTCACCCTCACGGGGCAGAGGTCACAGACCCTAAGAGGCTCCCATGGGTGTTGGACACCTGCCCGCAGGGGGCAGAGATGATGAGGATAAGTTGAGAAGAGTCACTTTAAGGGACTCCAGGGGGCCTTCAGCCCCACTCACCCCACCCCCATCTTCTTTTCTCCACCGGGGAGGCGGCCAGGGAGAGTACTCACTGGACAGAGGAGGGAACGAAGGCCCGCATCACCCCACCTCACCCCCACCCCGACCCCCACACCAAGAGCGAGGGCAGGGCCAAGGCTCATCGGGAAGGGTGCAGGGCTCAGCCCACATCAGCTTCGGCTGGCTCTGCCCAGGCTTCACGCTTCATTGCTACTTAAATTCTTGGCAGAAGGAACCTACTCTTAGAACTATGACCTTGGCTCCCTCTGCCGGCCTAGATTCCTAATCCCTTTTAAAACTCCTGGGCTGGGGAGGATGCATAGCAGGAGGAAGGGCGAGGAGACGGCAGTCAGAGGAAAGGGACTGAAGCCAGTGCTGCGGGGGGTGGCAGCTGGGGGGCGGGGAGCCCTGTGGTGGGTGAACAAGGGGTGGGACCCAGGGGTCACTGAATGCCCGGGCTAGGGCGTGCCTATTCTTGAAGCAGGAGATAGGGTGAGATTTGTTGTGCTTTATAGGGTCACTCTGCCTGCCCATGGTGGTTGGTCGAGGCAGAGGATAAGAGGCGGACTCAACAAGGCTAGGAGCCAAACAGGACGTGGGCAAGAGGGAGCAGGAGCACAGAGGACCACTCCCAGGTTGGTTTCTGACCTGCCCGGGGCACTCAGCAAAAGGCAAAAGGGCTTTGAAATGTGAAGCACCAGGGGTCACAGGCTGGCTGCCGTAACCAGCATTTTGATCAGAACCATGAATGAGCACAGGGGCCTCTCCAAACAGTCCCTCTGGGCTCAGAGACCTCAGTCGCAAAGGAAGAGGGAGGGCGAAAGGAGTGGCTTCAAGTCCGAGGCCCACTGAGCCTCCACTTTTCCATCTGTGAAACGGGAGAGTGCACTGGCATCATGAAGCCCCCCACCCCGTGTGGAGAAGGTGGAAGTTCCCCGTGGGTGCAGGGTCTACATGGGGGTGATGTCACTGATCTCATGGAGGCCTTCAGTGAAGGAGCAGATGAGCATGTAACCTGGGGTCATCCCTGCCCCTCTTCTAGGCTCAGAGTTCCGTCTGTACAAGGACATCCAACCCAGGTGTCTGGGACCCTCTCACATCTCCCTCCATCTGCTCCCAGGGAGCAGCACCCCCACCTCCAGGTCTGCAGGTTGGAGCAGGGCCCTGGAAGGACAAAAGCTCTGCTAAGACTCAGACATGCCTCCCCGGGGGTGGGCGGGGCCCGTGGTGGACAACTGGACAACTCACTCCTCGGGGAACACGACGGCCTCGTTCTTGATCTTGCGGTGCAGGGCCAGGATGTAATCGTCGATGAACGGGCACTGCGGGGGATGAAACAAAGGATGCGGGCCCAGCGCCTCAGCCTACTGGGGGCAGCTCTGGGCTCCTCATGAGATGGGGGTGGGGGGGCCTCATCAGGGCCTGGCCCACAGGAGATGCCCAGCAAACGTGGACTGAATGAGTGTGTCATGGAGGGAACCAGGGGTTGTGTAGCTGCCAGTGTAACAGCCACTTGCAGCAAGGCCTGCACTGCCAGGGCCTAAGGTTTGGGAATGTGCTCCCTGAGATTCCGTCAGCGTGGTCCCTGGAGTGGGGACACCTCTGGACAGGGAACTGGGCCATGTCAAGGTCAGACATCCGGCCTGACTCAGAGCAGGTGTCAAGGACAATTTGTTGAATGAATGAAGGAGTGAGTGAATTTGTGAATGAATGAATGGCATTGAAGGACAGAAGGACAAGGAGCACCCAGGCTGCAGTGGTGGTAAGACCACCATCTAACCTCTGTGGGAGCTCTGCTGACCCAGGACTCCCGCACATGAATCCATCCCCCCCAAGAGGATAAGGGGACATGAGAAAAATAGAAACGCCCCTTTTCCTTCCATCATTTCTGAGCAGAGTGGGCTCTTTCAAAGTCACTTTACTTCAGGACACAAGGGCACAGCCTACATCTATCATGCATCCTGGCTCAGCTCGCCCAACCCATGGTGCCAGGGGTGTGGGCTGGCCCCAGCTCTGCCAGCCCACCCAGCACTCACCTTCCCATAGACAAAGCAGTACAGCGTGACCCCTGTGGCCCACACATCCAAGGCCTAGAAAAAACAGTTCACATCAGTCCCCCAAAAGGAATAGACACACCCCTTGCTCACCCAGCTCCAGTGGGCCATGGGAGAAGGCAAGCAGGAGACCTCCTTCCCCAGTCATGCATTCATTCAACAAACACTCCCAGGCCCTTGTTCTATGCCAGACCCTGTGCTGAGCACTGCAGACAAGGGGATGGCCAGAGCAGGGCCCCTGCCCTCCCGGGTTTCCAAGTTTCCTTGGAATGGGCCCAAACCAGATGTGTTTCCAACAGAACAGTGCAAAACCCACTTCGTCTACAAGGTTACATTTGCAGTACCCATAACACTGATGCACCCCAGAATATTGAATTTATACTTGCTAAACCAGCTCTCGCTTTGAGAAGTCATCCCTCTTGCTGATGATCCCCTGGAGAAGCCATCATCCACCTTCTTTCTGACACCAGAACAGCCTCTGGCCCTCAGCTACCTCCACAACTCCTCGGGGCTCCCCTGCACCCTGGATTTGAATGTGCCCTGTCTCTACAAGTTCCTGCTTCTGGAACCCCACTTCCTCTTCTCATATCCACTTTCTCTCTTATGTGAGTGATCCTCAAATCTCTACCTACACATTCCTGCCACAGATGCCTCATCTGAATCCAATCAGGGAACACCAGAAGGGGCAGCCAGCACCCCACAGGGGATAACAGGGTGCGTGCCCGGGGACACACAGAATCCCAGCCTCTGCTTGGAAAACTTTGCCACTGCCTCTGTCACTTAGGACCAAGCCCAAACTTCCAGACCCTCTAAACTCTGCCCAGATGCCACTGCACCCCTCAGTTCTCTGGTATGTTCTCCGGACCCCACCTCCTGTAAATTCTCCCTATTCTTTAAGGCCTAGTTCAAATACTGCCACACCCTCAGAAGTCAGGGGAGCCTCCGACATCCCCCACGACAGGAGTCCTCCTGTCCTTTCACCAGGATCAAAGGGCAGGGAGCTGGGCCATCCGAGCTCTGACTGTCCCACATCCCAGCCCAGAACTCAACAGACAGCAACTGGTAGGAAATTTCTTCAGGGGGCCATTGTGCTGGTGAACGAGAGGAGACCCAAGCTGGGGTTCTTGTTGGACTCCAGGAAGAGGCAAACCCAGGGGGAGAGGACCCTGTTTGGTGCTCACTCCTAAGATACGAAGACCTTGGCTCCCCCAGGTTAGATATGGGATGGCATGACATGCTACCCAACCCCTCCACCTAAACCCCAACCCAGACCGGACCCTGGGGGCCACCTTTCCACTGAAGCTCTGGCCGGAGTCTGAAATGGCCTCTGGGGCCATGAACGCTGGAGTCCCAGCGGTGCTGGACAGCCGAGCGTCGTTCCCCTCGAACTGGTTGCTGACACCGAAGTCAGCGATCTTCACGTGCCCGTCGTCCCCCAGAAGCAGGTTTGATGGCTTGATGTCCCTGTGGATGATCTTCTGGTAGTGCACTGCAGAGAGAGGCAGCTCAAACGTCGGCCTGGGGCCCCTTCACCCAAAACTTCCCCCCTTGACCCTTGCCTGGCCCTGGAGGCACCCTCAAACTCCAGGAGGGAAGCAGCTGGGACTTCCTGGCCCCTGCACACACTCGTCTCATGAGGACCTTGGAAGAGGATGTCAGGGCCCCCCGCTCAGCTATGCAGTGAAGACACTAACTCAGGCTGTTAGTAACAGAGCCAAGCCTGGACTCCCAGGAATCTTGGAACTCCAAGCCCGGTGCTCTCTCCATGGCAGTCAAGGCCCCTGCCATTGAGTGGACGTCAAAGGAAACTGGGGAAGAGGGTCTCCATAGGCCCTCCCTGCCCCCCCCATGTGAGTGCTGTCTGCAGGCTCAAAGCCCATCAAAATATTTCTATACTTTGGGACTCCCTGGTGGCCTAGTGGCTAAGACTCCGTGTTCCCAATGCAAGGAGCCCAGGTTCGATCCCTGATCAGGGAACTAGGTCCTACATGCCACAATTAAGTGTTCGTATGCTGCAACTAAAAGGTCCTGCATGCCACACGAAGACTGAAGATGCTGTGTGTCGCAACTAAGACCTCGCGCAGCTGAATAAATCAATTAAGCAAACAAACCTTCGTCCAGTTCCATCCCCTGCCCAGCCTGTCACAGCTGCCACTGCTTCTTGGACTGAGGGTGGGGTATCCTGCAGAGGTATTACCCTCAGCCCCAGGACTCTGGGCCAATGGGTTTTAGAGAGGGAGGGAACGCCAGTCCTTGGGACCTCCAGGATGAACATGGCTGGGGTAATGGTCAGCCTGCTCTAGTAGGCTAAGTTCCCACCCTGCTTCCTGGGTCCAGCATTGCTGGGAAGAGACAAGCAGCTCAGACTGAGATAGCCCTAGATGTCCCAGCAGAGAAAAGGCACTGACTTCACCCACAGCCTTGCACTTATGAGCTCGCCACTCAGCAAATACCTTCCCCTGGACCACCACATCCCGGTATGATGGAGACAAGGGAAGATGGGACAGGAAGGAGGGCAGGGGAGGGGAGAGGAGGAGGAGAGGGTGGCTGCGGGTGGGGGGCAAAAGGAGTGAGGGTCATATAATAATAACAACAGAGGGGCTTCCCTGGTGGCTCAGCGGTAAAGAATCTGACTGCCAGTGCAGGAGACACAGGTTCGATTCCTAATCCAGGAAGATCCATCACGCCACCAAGCAACTAAGCCCAAGAGCCACAGCTACTGACGCCCACGCACCTGGAGGCCCTCGATCCACAAGAGAAGCCACCGCAATGAGAAGCCCGCACACCTCAACTACAGAGCAGCCTCCACTCACGGCAACTAGAGAAAAGCCCAGGCAGCAACGAAGACCCAGCACAGCCAAAAACAAATATATAAATAAAAAGCATTAAAAAAAAAATAAAAACAGAACCCACGACCCTACAGCACTCTCCTCCCATGTGTCAGGTACACGTGAATCATTTGACACACACCCATTCGAGCACGGGTGGCTCTGTATTTGACCATGGAAAGTGGGCTCAAATTCTAGCCTCTCCCTTGAATTCTCAGCTGTTTATCCAAATGGGCATCCTGTGGACATCTCAATATATATCCCAATATTTCTCGATCACATTTTTGTTTTTTGGCCATACTATGCAGCATGCAGGATCTTAGTTCCCGGACCAGGGATCAAATCCCTGCCCCCTGCATTGGGAGCGTGGAGTCTTAACCACTGGACCTAGGGAAGTCCCTCAAACACATATTTAATGCAGAATTTGACCTCTCTATCTGCAATCACCACCAAACAAACAACCCTATTCCTTGTCTAGTCCCTCCCATTTGATTAATGGCCATACTACCAGTTGCTCAGCCAAAAACCCCTCTTTCCTTTAGATCTCACATCCAATTCATCAGCAAGTCCTATGAGCTGGACCTCTCAGATATATTCCAGACCCGACTGCTTCTCCTACCTGCATGGCTGCACTGGCCCCGTCTGTGAGAGTCAGGCCTGAGCCTCCCAGAGCACAGGGAGCCTCAACTCCCCCTTCTCAGGCACGGAATCACAAGGTGGGCCTTCAGCACCCGGTGTCTCCATTGTCTGCTTGTCCAGTCCCTGGTGCTGTCCTATCCACTCCAGAAAGCCCTTCATCGACTGTGATTAGCTAGGTCTTGATGAGGCTTTACCCAAGAGTCAGATGGGATCAGCTTGGCTTTTTTTTTTTTTTTTTGCAGAGAGAGGATGAGAGATAACAGGCCCAGGACAGGAAGTGGGTAGAAGCCAAGCTGGTGTAGGGTTGCGTCTGCCGCAACCACACCAGGCTGAAATGCCCTCCTCTCACACCTCTAGGCCCTTGTAGGGACTTTCTGCAAAGCCCTCTTTCTCTGTGCCTCAGTTTCTCCATATGTACAAAGACAGCATTAACATGAAGGCACTGGAGTGGCTCAAATGAGATAGACATTCACTGCAGGTCAAACGTCAGCTGGCCCTCACCTGGTCCTCTAAGGGAGAGAAGATGCTTCTGATAAGCCAAGCTGAGGATTCAGAGGGGGAATGTATCCCACTCCCCAAACCAGGCCAGGACCCTAGGTGCCTGCAGGCCCCCTTTTCCCTTTGACCAGAGAGTCACCCGGTGCCGGCCACCCCACCTCCTTCACATCTGCTCCCCACTGCCGCAGCCCTAATCCAGGACTCACCATCTGTCACTTGGGCTGCAAAACCAGCCTCCTCCCTAACCAGTTGGCCGCCTCTTGCCCTCCATCCAGCCGCCACACAGCTGCCAGACAGAGCTTTCTAAGACACAAATCCGATCACTCCCCTTCCCTGCTCGAAGCCCTCTGGGTCTCACAGGGCTGACAGGATAAAATCATGAAAGTCCTCTGCACTGACATTCCCAGCCCTCGAGGTGTGACCAGGACAGTGCTTCCAGCATCATCTTTCCCCATCCCTGGCTCCCTGGTTGGACTCAACCAAACTGAACTCCCCCTTCTCAGAGAGTACATGCCTACTCCCCTCTATGCCGCTGCCATGCGGTACACCCTCCCACCATGCCTCAAACTGGCCAGTGAACTCCTATTCGTCCCTCAGAACCCTGCTCATCAGTGGTCTCCTCCAGGAAGCCTCCCTTGGTCCCTTAGTGCTCTGACAGCTCCTGCGCCTCCCCAGTCTTGGCAGGCACTGCTGAGGTTCCTGTCTCTCCCACTAGGCTGCGAGATCCTTGAGATCTCTTCTGGGTCTTTGGCATCTACATGCCCCCAACTGGCACTTACTAGGTGCTCATAAATGGATAAATGAATGAATACATGAATTCCAGACAGAGGCTAAGCCAACATCTTCCCTCCTGAGCTCTCCATCACCTTAGGGTGCCTCACAGTAAACCCACTCAGCTACCACCCTCCGGTTCCATGCCAGGACTGACTCTTCCTCGAGCAGCTGGACACAAACTCCTTCCCACAGCCCTTGATGCCCTGTGAGAGACTGAGCTTGAGATACAGGAAGAACATCCGCCTATGCGGTAATAAGCAGGCCCCCAGAAGGACCTGGCGCATGCCCAGTGAAATCTGCCACTACCCTACCTGTTCGGGAGGTTTCGGCCCCGCCCACAGGCCCATTGACCCGCCCCCCAGCTAAAGATGATTGGCAGATCAGCACTGACTGACAGGAGCGGCTCAGAGCCGGCCCACCCTGGGCTCCAGCCCCTCCTGTGTCCTCCTCTCGGGTCCCCAGCCCAGGGAGGCAGGCAGCCCCTCACTCACAGTACTCAAGGCCCAGGATGATGTCCCTCAGGTAGAGGCGAGCTTGCTCCTCGGGGAAGGGCTTGTCGCAGGGTACTTCCATGACCGGCCTGTCGGGAGGGCGGGGTGTTTAGCTGGAATTAGGATGAGCAAAAGCAGATGGCAGGTTCCCCTTCACTGGGCCCTACAAACTCTTTGGGACCTTTCAGGAGCCCTCTAAGCTCGAATGGGTCCCTGGAACACAAGATAGTAGCTTTTTCTCTCATATAAAGAAAATTTGAAAATACACATAGATGCACATATCCCTTTTCAATCGTTACAATTTCAAATTAGCTTTATCTTACTTCTGGTTGGCTTGGTATGCCTTCTTCTAAGTACTTAATTATCAACAATCAGACAGTTGCAAAGATTCCATTTACAGCTGTGTTTTTCAAACTGTAGGTCCAGGACAAAGAAGGTCATGAAATCCATTTAGTGGGTGGCTACTGCTTTTTCTTTTCTTTTCTAATAAAGTCCTATATACTAGAGAATATCACATGTAATAAGGATATATGCTATTTTAGAAAACTTTGGTTTCAATTACAGATATGAATAGCAATGTAAAACTTTATTTCTTACTTGGAACAGAGATAAAAAATGCTGAAAGCCCCTGAGTCTTTTTTTTTTCTTTTCCCTGAGTCTTAAAGGACACATTCCATGCCTCTTGCCAGAACTGGTCTTTAGCGCCTCCCAGACAGAGAGACAAGTCACAGCCTATATTCAAGACCTTAGCGGTTAAGGAGCCCAGTCCACCCAGCCCTGCACCCACTACTCCACGTCAGCTGCTCGGCACATACCCTGAGAAGGTTAGACAAGGCAGACATGAGTTAGAACCCTAGATTTCATCAGCGACTCGCTATGTGCCTTTGGGCAAGCCACTTACCCTCTCTGAACCTCAGCTTCCCCTCTTGTAAAAAGGGAGTGAATGAAGTCCCAACTACCTAACTCACAAAATGTGTAAAACTGAAAGAACTCTTTTGTGATTTGAATACAGGTGAGAGTTGAGTTTCATCTCTCTACTTTTCCTTTCTTCTCTCGCTCCGGCATCAAATCTTCTTCCAATTCTTCAAGGCCTGGCTGGAAATCCACCCCCTCTTCCTGAGGCCTCCCTGACTATTCCAGCCTCACTGACCCCATCAGCCTTCAAAGAATCACCCTCTTGGTCTCTCATTTCCCATCCATTTCCACCACCCCACCCCCGAACCCAGACCACAGGTCCCTAAGGACAGAGCCTGGGCCTCTTTCTTTCACTAGAGTAGCTGACCCTAGGACTAGGGATACAGGGAGGGAAAGGAAGACCTGGCCTGCCTGAACATTATGGGGAACTCACCCCTTTCTCAGGAGGTCAAACACTGAAAGAAAGGAGAAAAGAAAAGTAGGTAAGTTGCAGCCAGGCTGAAAACACAGCCAATGCCAAGATCCCTGCCCCTTCTGGAGGGTGGGTGAGGGGGCAGGCATCCAGGCATACTTGAGGGAGAGACAGGAGAGGGGTCCCAGGGTATCAGGGGAGATAAATGGCTGAGAGTGGGTCTACTATGAACTTGCCTCACTGGAACCTTAGGTACCAAGTGAGGAGCATCAGCATGAACGCCTTTAACAGGGGAAACTGAGTCTCAGAGAAGGGGCAGGCAGGAGAGGGAGTGGAGGCTAAAGCCTTGGCCTCTAACTCCTAAGCCTGTGTTCCTTCTGGCCCATTCCCTGAAAGCCTCTAAGCCCAACCCTGAATCAAGCACCAGGGACTTTAGTAACAACATCAGTATTACTATTACTAACAATAATAGCTAATGTGTCTTGCATGTAATAACTCATTTAATTCTCACATCAACCCTATGATGTAGATACCATTACTATCCCCATTTTACAGGTGAGGAAACTGAGGCACGGAGTTATCAGCTAGGGCCTGGGAATCCACATCACACAGCCTACTTCTTGTATCTGCCTGATCCACTGTCTCTCCAATCAGTGGTATGGGGGTTTGGGAACACGGGTTGACTCTAACTGGATATCCTGAGTCTGGCTCAGCAGGGCTGAGGAGAGAATCTGGGACTTGAGAACATGTCTTTCCTCCCTGTCCCTAGTAGGTCAGTTCATTTCACAAGGCCCAGCTGAAGGTCAAGTGTGTCCCTGGGGAGACTTTGGACCCACCCGAGTAAGCTACTTTGGGGATGAGCTGGGTCACTCACCCAAATAGAGATTGTCCTCAGCTGGGTCATCCAAGACCTGGTGAGAAGGAGCAGACATGGCGGTGGGACTTGGGGAGGCATGGGATAGGGGTGCTTGCCAGCCCCAGGGCCCACTGTGTGCTTTGCAACCACCCCGGATGATGGAGCAGGACCTGTGCCAGCACGAGGCTGATGAGGCCTCAGAAACCACTGGCCCCTGACCTTGGTCCACCACACAGCACCCTGCCCCTCTCCCCTTCACCATGGGGCTCGCTTCTTGCCTCTGGAGCAGCTCAACCCCCTCCATGGGAACCTGAGAACATCCCAGAGCAGCCTCAACTGGCCCCAGAAGCCTCCTGGCCATCCCTATCCCAATTCTGGCCCTGCCCTTGGCACATCTCCCTTGGAAAAATTCCTGGGTCTATGCCAGGTGCCCCCTGCACCGAGGGCTACTCCATAGGCCTCACCTGCTCGCCACCTACCTCGATCAGCTTGACCACATTCACGTGGTCCAGCTTCTTCAGGATGGCAATCTCCTGGTACACCCGCTCCAGGGGCAGCAGCTGCTTGGCTGGGCCTCCCTGGGCAGCCTGGGACCCTCTTGGGGGAGGCCGACCTGTGATCAGGAACGAGAGTCCAGCCTGTCACAGGAGGCTGGGCCTCACCGTAGCCCTGCAGCCAGCCTTAAGCAAGAAACTTGCAAGACCTTGGCCTTGGCCTCAACCCACCAAGCACAGTCCCACCAGCAGGCCTTTGCTCACTCTCTCCCTGTCCACCCCCTAGTCCTAAGAAAGCTAGCCTCTGAGGTCTCCCCCTCGTCCCCAGGCCAGGAGCTCCCACGCACAGGACCAGACAGATACGCACGTGGGAAGCCGTACTGCTTCAGTAACTTCTTCTTGGAAAGAACTTTCATGGCCTGAGGAGGGAGGGGCAGAGATGTCACTGACGTGGACCCACCAGGGATTAGAACAGACTGGTTACACATGAACTGAGGTCCAGAAAGGCTCACGGGCACACGGCACTGAGCATGTGGACCGGCTGCAGTTACATTGAGTTAGGAGGTGGCCATGACTGAACCTTAGGCCTTACCCCTGTTTCCCATAACAGCCCTTTCTGGAGCTCTCCCCTCGGAGGCATCCAGCGTCAGCTTGCATATTCCCAGGGTCAAGAAGCTCATTCCCTTTGCATTCCACTAAGGACAGGGAGATTACTCCCTTCACAGGCAGCCTTGTCCACCGTCTTGGCACAGCTTCTGCCCACCCTCCAATCTTCTAGGGCCCAGTGTAGGTGACACCTCCCTCCTTTCCCCAGACTTACATAGTGTCTGTCTTCACTTTCATTGTAGGCCAGCCTCACCACACCGTAGGCACCCTGCAAAGAGGCACAGGTCAGCCCCTGCTGGATAGGGCAGCCTCCCCCAAGACTAGGGGGAGAGGAGGAGGGGAGCCCGAGCTGCTCATTCCCCCTATCTCCTCCCACATCCCATCTCAACCCTGGCAACCTGTGGGCATAAATTTCAGGCAGGAAGGGAGGGCTCCATTCCCAGGTCACTGCCCCTGCTGGGCTCAGCACAGCTCTATGCCTTCCCCAGTCCCCTCCATCAAAAACTCTGAGGAGAACTTCCCCAGGGGTTCAGTGGTTAAGAATCCCCCTGCCAATGCAGGGGACAAGGGTTCGATCCTTGGTCTAGGAAGATTCCACATGCCATGGGGCAACTAAGCCCATGTACCACAACTACTGGGCCCACACTCTGGAGCCTGTGAGCCGCAACTACTGAAGCCCGTGAGCCTAGATCCATGCTCAATATCAAGAAAAGCCACTGCAATTAGAAGCCCATGCACTGCAACAAAAATTAGCCCCTGCTCAACGTGACTAAAGAAAGCCCAGCAAGGAAGACCCAGGACAGTCAATAAATAAATAAGCATATCAAACTCCAGGGAGTCGGGAATCAAGAATTATCTCCCATCCCCTGTAAAGGACAAAACTTCCCTCACATCCAGGGTAGGACCTTCTTGGCTCAGCCTCACATTCCCGGAGGAGGAGAGGGGATTGTGGAGGATCCAGACAGGCTGGCTCCGCAAACCCCCAAAACTAGTTCCCCCTGCTCTTGGCCTGCCCCCAGGCCTACCTTGCCAATCTCACTCTGCAGCTTATACTGGTTCAGCTGTACACAGTCCTGGTGGGGGGAAGAGAGGGGCCATCAGGTAGAGCTTGATCCAGAAGCAGCACTCCAGGTGCACTTGCAGGGCCCAATCCTGGCCCCAGGCCCCTCACCCTCAGGCCCCGGGCCTCATCAACATTTCAAGTTTAGATGGGGAAATGAGGTGGTGCCAACACCAAAAGTGATACTGAAAGCTACAAGACTTGGATAATGTTTAGAGATGTGAATGGTGAAATTTGCCTGTGTTTTGCTCCCTGAGAAGTGGTGGGAAAATGCACTAATTTCCACCTGGATACTGGGGGCTGGGACACCCTGATGTGAGAAATCCATGAGCAAGTATTTCTAGAAGCAGCTGAATGAGGAGACTGCATAGACAGGAAAGATGAGGACAACCTTTGGACAGGGGACCTGGCTCAGCCTCTAAGTACTGGTTGCTCACTATTTAGGTTCACTTTAGATCTAAGACGCAAAGACAGAGCCAGTGGGAGCCCAGAGGCTGGGAGTAGGCTGGCAGTTTGTGAGTCACAGCAGACTCTATGAGGCAGGATTAGAAGTGGGGGGCTCAAGCTGGGGAAGACTTGGGGGACAGGAGAACACACTATCTTCGAATCTCTAAATGGACTTCTTGGGGAATATGGGAGGGACCTATTTCCTAGGCTTCGACTGGGAGTAGGAATGGTGGGACTAATAGGAGGTAGCAACTGGCTCAGATGGAGCTCCCCTGGGTGGGAAGAGGCCACATAGAGAGGTAGTGAGTTCCTCGGCTCTGTGGGTATGCAAACCAATGTCTGGACAGCAGTGTGGCAGGTGTAGAACAGCGAAGGGTCTTCACTGAGGACTGCTGAAAAGCTCATGGGCACCCCCTAGCTCTGCTCCACCAACCTCTGCATCCGAGATGGCCACGTGGTGGGACTCAATGGTGGGCCTGCGCCAGGCCCGCGGGGAAATGTGACTGGCAGGCCCTGTGGCGTAAGGCCCAGCCTGGGCCTCCAGGCAGCTCCCCGCTGGCCGTTCCTGCAGAGAGAACTTCCTTGTCGAGAGGCTGGGCCGGGTTGCAGGGTGTCTTGAAGCAACGCCGGGGATCACGGAGGCTGCTCTGGCCCGTGACGGAGGGTCCACACAGTTCCTGGGAGGCTCAGGGCTGCCATCCGTCTCCTCCAAGTGGGTCACATCAATGGCTGCCACTCGATCCACCAGCTCAGCCCGAGGGTCCTGGCAGCAGACCGCCGGGCCCCCCTCCATTGCCACAGTCAAGGGGGTCCTCAGTGCAGCCTTATGGGGAACCTAAGAGGGCAGAGAAGGCTCCAGTCCTGGCCACCGAGCAAGGTCAGATTCCCAGGCCCCACCCCCACCGTAGCCACAAATTGTGAGTCCCACTTCCATGCCTTTGCCTTGCTGTTCCCTCTGCCTGGGTCGCCAGCATCCAAACTGAGGTCTCCCTCCTCACTAAAGGAATGCCAGGGGGCTTCCCTGCTGGCTCAGTGGAAAAGAATCCGCCTGCCGATGCAGGAGACACAGGTTCGATCCCTGATCTGGGAGGATCCCACATGCTGTGGAGCAACTTAGCCCATGAGCCACAACTACTGAAGTTGAGCCTGCGCTCTAGAACCTGGAAACAGCAACTACTGAAGCCCAGGGCCCTAGAGCCCGTGCTCTGCATCAGAAGCCACCGCACTGAGAAGCCTGTGCACTGCCACTAGACAACAGCCCGCGCAGCAGTGAAGACCCAGCACAGCCAAAAATACAGTTTTTTTTTAAAAAAAGGAATTCCAGGAACTCATCTGGCTCTGCTGCACATCTGCCCTCTAGACCTCAGTATTCCCATCTGTAAAACAGGCACATCAGCCGCGCTGGCTTTACAGGGAAGCAGGGAGAATTTGATATTCTGGAGTCAGAACAGACAGACATGGGCAGAACTGGAGGCCTCGCGGCACTGGCAGAAACAGAACCCGGGGTCAGCTCGGGCCCCCATCCAGCAGACAGCCCAGTGACTCACAGCTCCACCCCTGACAGCAGGGCATTCCAAGGCTGCCAACACCACCACTGTGCTGCCTGAAGCTGAGCTTAGCTCCTGATGCTTCAGGTCCCCCCCTCCACCCCTGTCGCTGCTTCCAGGAAGATTTCCCTGCGGCTCCAGCCTCTCCCACCCTGGCACCTTCTCCAGGGAGGCTTCTCCAGGGCCACAGGGCAAGTCTCCCATCGCTCCCTTCCCTGCCCCAGCAGAGCCTGCAGCCCAGGACAGGCTCCTTTAGAGGAGGTGGCTGCTGCTCTGATGACGGTGAAGAGAGACTTCACTGCACTTATTTCTCCTGGTTTTTCCTTCCAGTTTATTCATGTGGCCAAAATGTTCACCTCATCTGTTCAGGTTGAGGTGCTCCCCTGGCCTGGCCTGGCCTGGCCTCCTGCAGTCTGAGCCCCCAGCAAGGTCCAAACCAACCTCCAGTGTCCAGTCCCAGCCCTCACTTTCAACCACATCCCTGGGCTGAACCCTGACCCCAGGCTGAACCCGGATACTCAGGCTGGGACTCCATCTCTGCCCAGGGCTGAGCACAGGCTCCACCCCACTCAGTGCCCCTCCCCCTTCCTAGACCAGACTCAGTATCTTCTCCGGAAAAGGAAGTAAGTGGACTCCTGACCCTCTGCCCTTCCTGTCTGGTGGTAACTTGCACCATTACCACAGAACAGTTTTGAGAACATGGTCTTTATCTCACTCCTTATCCCCCCATCACCTTGCTTTGACAGATATCAAGGAGGCTGGGCTCACTGGAGTCCACTGGAGTCTGGGCTGGGTTACAGTCCTGCCTCCAACCTACCCAGGGCAGCTCCTTCCCAACTCTGAGCCTCAGTCTTCCCATCTGTACTATAGATGCAGGACCTTCCCAGATTCCCAAGACCACAACAAGACTTGGAAATGTATTGTGGGTAAGGGTATGGTCCAGACCCCCTGTGTTTGACACCCAAAGTATTGAATGAGTGGTAGCCTGGTGGAGCAGATGTCGGCATGCAGAAAGGAAGGGGGAAGGGAATCTAGACTGGCAACAGGAAAAGATATGGACACTGGACCTAAAGGAGTGAGGGGAATGTGAGCATCAGGGAGGCCTCCCTGGAGGAGGTTAGAGTGGCAAATGGACTAAAACATTGGGAAGGCTTCTCTGAAGTAGGTGAGGAAGTAAGTAGGGCTGGAGCATCATGGAGGCCTCCCTGGAGGAGATAGAATGGGATTAGAGCATCAGAAAGGCTTTAGGAACCAGATGGTTGCAAGAAGGAAGAAGCCAGGGCTAAAAGGAACCCTCCAAGCCTGGCCCACGCTGCCACCCTTCCCCCTCACTCTGTAGGTTCTTTTTCTCCCACATAAACTCCACAGATTAGGGTTCTTGTCTGCCTCATCTCCATAAGACCACTAGCCTCTGCAGCAGTCCCTGAGGCATAGTAGGAGTTCAATAAATATTTGCCATAGTGATCATTACAGTCCTGGCCCCATTACACAGATGGGAAAGCAGAGAGGAGAGAGGGAACCCCAAGAAGCTTAAGACCCCAGCCCACAGCAGGGAACGGATGGCAGTGTCTGGAGCTCTTGTCCTCTGGTCCCCAGCAGGAACCCAGGGGACTGAGAACCATCACAGGCAGAGGCCACAGGCTGCCTAGCCCATCAAATTTGCATATGATTTTCCCCGAAGCTATCACCCTGGCCACAGGCCATCTTCCTTCAACTCCCCCTTTTTTTTCTCAGATGAGGAAAGTAGGGCCCAGCAAGGGACAGGTGTGGGTCTGGGGTCACACCTCAGGTCAGGGCAGACCCTTCCTGCTCCACTTTGAGGCCCTGTTCCCTGGTTTAGGATGCAGGCCCTGAAGCCAGGCTGCCAGGCCAGCGGCCCTTGCTGGCGGTGTGCCCATCCACGGGCAGGTGACCGACCTCTGTGCCTGGGTTTTCCCCATCCGCAGAGTGGGGTTAGCAGCAGTATCACTGCCCAGGTGGCTGGGAGGAGTTAAGGAAGGCACGCCCTCACGGGGCTCAGAACCAGGCCCGCCCCTAACGGAGCCCCGTAAAACTGAGTTGTTGTGTTGCTGTTGTTGTGATTGCCTGGGACACGCGGTGGCCCAGATGGAGGCGCGGGCGGCAGAGGCAGCTGTGAGAGCTGACGTCAGGCCCTCCACACTCCCTCCCGCCTGGATCAGATTCAGGTGACTAAGCACAGCTATGCGGGAGGCGCCCCGGGGAGGCCCCAGGTTCCTGCCTGTGTCCAGGCGACAGGGCCTGGCGCCCTGTGTGTGAGGGTGTGTGTCAAGTGAGAGAATATGTGCGAGCGGGGCTGTCAGCTCGGGGTGACAGTGTGTGTGCTGGGGGGGGTGGGGGGTGGAGGGGGTTCCACACACAGGAGCCCATCTGCCCGGAAACAAAAATCTGTGACTGTGGTCTGCATGCGGTGGCTAAGCGTGTTCATGTGCACTGTGTGTCTTGAGGTCTTTGCGTACCCATGCCCCAGGATGGGGGGAGGGGGGTGGGCCCTGCACCCGCTGGGCGCCATGGGAACCCGATCTCAGAAAGTCAAGTTGGAACTTCCCATATTCCCACGAAGTCACCTGTCCCCCAGCCCGGGGCTGCCTGCTGGGCTGGGCTGTATGTCTTGGGCAGGACCCACCCCTCTCTGGGAGCTCACCAAGGGCGTTTCTCAGGGCCCTGCCCAAGCTGAAACCTCCATAGACACTGTATAGAAACTGACTCGGCGGCTAGCTAGGAGCCACATGGGCAAAAAAGGACAGACAGGCTGACAGCGAGGCCCAGGGCAGAGCAAGGACTTCTACAGGCATGGGGAGCCTTCTAGGGACCAGCTTGGTCCTGCAGCTGAGAATGGCCAGGCTCAGGCCCTTCCTCACTGAGAAGAGCGATCCCCAGCTGTCCTCCCAGACTGGGACTATGTTGCCCTGGACACTTCATTGAACTTTTGGAGCCTCAGCATGCTCACATGTGAATAGGATAGATAGCCCCTATCCTGTCACCTCCCAGGGCTATGGGAGGAAGTGGATGAGACTGTGGACACTGGAGCAGATGGTGCCTGAGCGATGTGGGGCTAGAATACGTTTATGTCATAGCCACCGAGAGAGAGAGCCTTGTTGTGCATACAAAGTGCAGCCTCAAGGACTTCCCTGGTGGTCCAGTGGTTGAGAATCCGCCTGCCAATGCAGGGGACACAGGTTCGATCCCTGGTCGGGGAAGATGCCACATGCCTCAAGGCAACTAGTCCTGTGCACCACAACTACTGAAGCCCGCACACGCACCTGTGCTCTGCAACAAGAGAAGCTCATGCACACAACTAGGGAGTAGCCCCTGCTCGCTGCAACTAGAGAAAGCTCACATGTAGCAGCAATGATCCGGTGCAGACAAAAAAGAAAAAAAAAAGTTACTCTTAAAAAAACAAAGACAAACCAAAAAGCCCACAAAGTACAGCCCCATATCTACCCCTGGCTCCAGGATGGCCTGGCACATTACCCAATTCAGACTTCTCCTTCCAGGCTATGTCCCTCATCCCCACCTCATTCCCAGGTATCTGGCTGCTCCTAAGGGATGCAGGGGCTTCCCAGGAGGCCTGCCAATGAAGGAGACATAAGAGACTTGGGTTCGATCCCTGGGTCAGGAAGATCCCCTGGAGGAGGGCATGGCAATGCACTCCAGTGTTCTTCCTTGGAAAATGCCATGACAGAGGACCCTGGTGGGCTATAGTCCATGGGGTTGCAGAGTCGGACATAACTGAAGGGACTTAGCCCACAGCACACAGGGGATGCAGACCCTGGCTCCAGACCCCACAGGACCAGATCTCCTCTTCAAGATGAACCTCATCACATGGGTCCCTCAGAGGAGGCCCAGAAGAGGACAGAGCAGGCATATCTTGCTCTCATCCACACTGATTCAAGCAACCTCGCTTGGGATGAATGTCTTCAGACCTCACCCTGAATTCTGGAAGGCCGCTGGGAATCTCAGGGCCAGGTTGAGCAGGGGCCCAGCTACCATCTAGGCAAGACAAGCCATGGCCCTGGTTGCCAGGGGACAGGCCAGAAGGGAAAGCTGTAAGGAGGTGGTCTGGTCCCCTGGGACCAGACATAGAAGATGGCCTTGGTATCCCTGGGCCGCCTCACAGAAGCTGTGTTTATGCTCCTGACAAGTGTCTGGATGGCCCTGGCAACGGGTGGCCTCCGCGGCTCCCGCCTCCGCCTGGGATGACTCAGTCCCCTCGGGGGAGGCCCAGGCGTCTGGTGCCAAGTCATGCTGGAGGATGCCTGCTGTGACAACGCCCCCTCCCATCATCCCCAGGGAGGCCCCAGCCACTGAGGTGGGCTCTGCGCCTAACTCAGCCCAGCAGCCCCTGGCACACCCTCAGCACCTCCTGCTGAGGTCCTCCAGGCCCTCCCTCCTCCCCTGGCCCCTCCTCATCCTCCGTACCAGGTCCACGCCTCCAGCCCAACTCCTTCCAGCCAGCTGCCTCCTCCCCTCGGTGCTCCCCGGCGACTCGGTTCCAATTCAGCTCAGCATTTCCCTCGAGTCTGCTCTTCCTCCCTTGTCCCCATCACAGAGACGAGTGCCACCGTCCTCCCAGTTCTCCCAGGCCAGAAGCCCAGCAGCCCTCCTTATCACCCATCGTTTCCCTTGTGCCCATCCTTAACCCCCGAACCTAACCCCACTTACTCCCCATTCTGGCCGCAAGTCCCAAACTGCAGACTCTCTTGTGCTGCCAGCCCTTCGGACAGGCTGTGCCTTCTGCCAGGAACACACCTCCCTCTCCTTGGCTGCTAGAGGACAATTGAGACATCTCCTCCCTGATCTCCCCACAGCTGAGTGAGGTCACCAAACCTAAATCCTTAAAAAGTCCAGATCCAGCCCTCCACTTTCCTTCCCCACTATTTGCTCCATACCTGCCACGCATCCCCAGGCTCACACCTCAATCCCACCCCAACCCATCCTCCATACCACTTCCTAGAGGGAATATTGCTAACATGCAAGTTAATTTGGTCTCAGTTCTTCCAGACCTGGCCTTCCAGGATCTTGGAATCTGAAGGACATAAGAGCAGGAGACCACACTCTGAGCAGCAAGGAGACAGGCTCAGAGGCTGGGAAGTAGCCAAGGAACCCAGAGTCATTCATTCACACAACAAAAAACTCAATTGAGCACTTGCCGTATGTGCCCAGGCATGGTGCTAGGTGACAGGAGACAAAGCAGCAAACCAAAAAGACAAAGTCCCTGCTTCAGTGAAGTTTAACTTCTAGTGGGACAAGAAGCAACAAACAAGAAAGCTGGGAATTAATAGATGGCATGTCAAGTGGTACATGCAGTGGAGAAAAAAATTACAGTTGTCTGAGAGGAATTAAGAGTGAAGCCCAGGGACTTCCCTGGTGGTCCAGTGGTTAAGGATCCACCTGGCTATGCAGGGGACATGGGTTCCATCCCTGGTCAGGGAACCAAGATCCCACATGCCGCTGAGCAACTAAGACCACGTGCCACAAATAGAGTCCATGAGCTGAAGATCCTGCAAGGAAAGATCCCACATGACTCAAAAAAGATTCCGTGTGCCACAACTAAGACCCAATGCAGCCAGATAAGACGGTGATCACGCTGTCTGAGGAACAGCAAGGAGGCCAACGTCTTTGAAGTGGGGTGTCCATGTGTGAGAGGTACCTGATGGCAAGCATAGTTCCAACCTCGAAGAGAAAGCACAGTCATTCACTGTGCCTGGTCTCAGGGATGGCTTCCTGGAGGAGGTGGCATTTAAGCTCCTGATCGCTGAGTAAGAGTTTCAGAGGAGGTGATGAAAGGTCACACAGTGCATGACAGAGAGCCACTTCCTGGCTGGGATTCAGGGCTTGGCCCTGGGGGTCTTTATGGACTGAGACCAGGAAATCTCGAAAGCCAGAGGAAGGGTCTGAGTAGGGGAGTGACTGCGTTGGATGCGATTTTAAAAAAAGATCCCTCTGCCCTCTGTGGGGACTAAAGAGGCCAAGGAAGAGGCAGGGGTTCCCAGTCTGTGGGCCTAGGATACAGTCTGGCACTCGGTGGATGCTCCATCTGTATGCTTTAGAGGGAAGAGTGAGGGATGTGGGGGCGACCAGTGCATCCTCAAGGACACAAGCTGTTTGCTCCTGCAGACTCCCCGGCCCCGTGGCGGATATAAACCCCATATGTGCCCACCGAGACATAGTCCTATGACCTGGGACATAACCTTCTCTACACACTCCTGTACCCCGAAGACACACATACACACATCACTCCCGGAGCAGGCGCACGCCCATGTCCGCGTGACCCGCCCTCACACACCACTCCATCCAGTAAATGCACCCCCCTCACACACACACAGGCACACTCCTATGCCCACGTGACACACGCACACCCGCCTCCAAACACCACACACAGGTCCCCGAGCACGTGTGCACCCTCCGAGCTACCAGTTCTGCGCCTGTCAGGCCGCAGCCACCGCAGCCTCCACCTCCGCCGCCCCCCTCCGCCCCCGCCCCAGCCAGGAGGACTGCGCAGCGCAGCCGAAGCCACGAGAGCGTTGCATCTGTCCCATTCATCCTCCAGCCCCAGCTCCTGCAGGAAGAGTCGGGGGAGGGCCGTGTGGGCGGAGCGCTCCGCGCTGATCCACACGTGGGTGCCCGGGTCTGGGCCCACTCCGCATAGGCACGGCCTCCCACCAAGAGCAGGGGAGGGGGTAGTGCGCCGGGTGTGGACGCGGTCCCGCAGATCGGAGCTAGGCAAGGGACGCAGACGGCGGAGCGCCCTCGGAGATGCGGTCCTGGGTGCCGGCGCAGACAGATGCAGGCTCCGGGAGGCACCCCAAAGACTGGGCCCCGCAGACCGAAGGGGGAGGATCCCCGCATGGACTAGGTCTGGGCTGTCTTCGTAGACGCAACCTCCCAGACCATCCCTCTCCTCTACAGGCTCCGGGCAGACGATCAGGCGTTCGTCCCCTCCCGCTCCCCCGCCCTTGACCGTCCCCCCACCCCCAGCCGACCCCTACCTCAGCACCCAACGACAGTCTCCGCGGCCCTGCGGGCTGCCACGCTCGCTCCCGCGGCGCGCACCCCGCCCCGCCCGCCTTCCCAGGGCCGAGATCACCGAGCTCAGACCCGCGGCGCCGCGGCTCCAGGCTGCGCTCGCTCCTCCGCCAGCTGCCGCGCCCGGCGCGCGCTCATTGGTGGAGCCGTGCGGCCCCCCTCCGGCGCCGCCCAATCAGAGCCCAGGACTCTCGCCCGGCTCCGGAGGGGAGGGGCCGCGGCGGGCGGTGGCTCCAAAGGGGCACCTCCCCCTGCGGAGGGACCGGCCTCGTCACGCCCCCATCGCCCTGCTCTAGGCTACTTGGGGTCCCCCGAAATCCTTCCAGGCCGCGGCCTGCGCCCCTTAGCGGGGCCTGGAGGGTACGAGTGCGTCACTACCCTTTGTCCCCCAGCCAACTCGGCCTGGCAGGGGCAAGAGCGCACCCCCCCTCCCCCGGGGGCGGGGATGAGGCACAGTGTGTATTAGGGGAGGGACGAAGCGAGATCAGCCACTGGATGGGGCCCAGGCCTAGGGCCAGGGAGAAAGGCCTTGAATGGTAGACTCAGGAGTTTAGCCTTCTGCTGCGTGGGGTGTAGGGGAAACGGGAAGCGGTTCTAACAGAATGCTCGGGTCAGAGTCGGGTTCTCACTTGGAGAAGGGACCTATGAGCAGGCAACAGGAATAGCCTAGCTGGGGCGGGAGGTCTTGACCTTCGAGGTAGCCCACCTCTTCCCTGGCGAGTTCATCAATTATTAGTTCAATTATGTTCTGCACTTGTATACCCTCTGGCACCTCACTTCACCACTTATCCAAGACAGAGCCCCATAGCACACCCGCAAACCTAGCCTCTTGCGTCCCTGTCTCAATCTGGAGCCAGAAACTTGGGAGTCTTGATAGCCGACCCCTTTCCTGTTCCAACCAGTAGATCACCAAGCCCTGCCCAATTTACTTCTTAAATATTCCTGGAATCCAGCCACTTGTTTCTGCTTCTCTGTCCCTCCCTTATCTCAGATCACTGTCTTCTTGCACCTGAATTGCTACAGCCACCTCTTCTTGGGACTCCCAGCCCCAAGTAACCTCATCGTCCTCCCCCACCACCCTCACCCACGTGGCTTTTCTCCACCTGGTGTCCAGAGCAATATTTCAGAAACACAAATCCAACCAGTCAGCTCCTGCTTAGGAATCTCCCGTGGCTCACCAATACCTTGGGAATAGATCTAATCCTGATTAGATGCCCTCCGTGACATCAGTCCTAACCACCGGCTCTACCCTTTTCAGGGATTGTTCAATGCTCCTCCTACCAGAAACCCTTCCCTGTGACCTCACTGCACAGCATGGGTTAGCAACCCTCCTTAGGGACCTCCTTGGAAGTTTACGGCATCTGTTTACTTGCCTGTTCCCCTCTCTGAACTGTGAGCTCCTTGAGAGCAGGACTGTGCTTGATTCATCCAGCACACAGCTTGACACATTGCATGAAAGATGTTTGTTGAGTGAATAATTAATTTTATATGGCAATCGGGGGACCGGATGTGTGGGGTTGGAGTTCAGGGAAGGGAGCTGGGCCAGTGAGAAGTTTTGAGGAGTTGTCAGGAAGGACCTCTAGTAGAGCCATGGGAAAGGGTGAGGCAACTCAGGGCAAATATACAGACAGTTTCAGGGGGAAAAAAATCTCTGTAGTAGTATAGTGTTAGCCGTTCAGTCGTGTCCGACCCTTTGTGGCCCCATGGGCTGTAGCCCACCAGATTTCTCTGTCCATGGAATTCTCCAGGCAAGAATACTGGAGTAGGTTGCCATTTCCTTCTGGAGGGGATCTTCCCCACCCAGGGATCAAACCCAGGTCTCCTGCACTGCAGGCAGATTCTTTACCATTTGAGCCATCAAGGAAGCCCCAAAAATCTCTGTAGTAGGCAGAATCAGTTCTGACTTACCTAACAGAAATTCCACATAAGAGCCTCAGGGAAAACAGTCCTGAGTTGGTATTGTAAGTAAGGAGTCCCAGAGAAAAAGAACCAAATGTAGCATTTTGGCATAAGAGAAGTCGTTTGTGCCCTAAGCGGCTTTTGTGATCCAAGCCTGGCCACAATGCTTGTCTTTGAACTGCTGCTGCTACTGCTAAGTCACTTCAGTTGTATCCGACTCTGTGCGACCCCATCCCTGGGATTCTCCAGGCAAGAAGACTGGAGTGGGTTGCCATTTCCTTCTCCAATGCATAAAAGTGAAAGTGAAGTCTCTCAGTCATGTCCGACTCTTCACGACCCCATGGACTGCAGCCTACCAGGCTCTTCCGTCCATGGGATTTTCCAGGCAAGAATATTGGAGTGGGGTGCCATTGCCTTCTCCGTGTCTTTGAACAGGTCTCAGTAATGAAAGAACAGGTCCCAGTAATTAATGATTGTAAAGGAACAAAAGAATGCAAGATCAAACAACTGTTGTCAGGCAAAGAAGTAGCAGCAGCAAAGATGATACATCAGTTGTAAAGACCCCCCCAGTTCCGTTTCAATGGTAAAGTTTAGCCTGAAGCACTTTCTTGAGTTGTTTTGCAGAATTGAAACCCCATTCAACCACAAGATCCACCGGAACCTAAGGGATGATGCTGAGCTTTTCTGACCCTCCTGTCAACCTTTGCCCCAGTTCGATGATGTGTAAACTCCCCAAGCCTCTTCATGAATAATAAGCATGTGCCCTAAGCCTGAAATTTCCCCAGTTTTGCTGCTCCCAAGAGACACTGTTACAGAGAAAGGTCCCCAGTGTTCTCCTTACTTGCGACAAGTAACAAATCCTTCCTTCTCCCACTCTGGATTGGTTGTGTCTTTTCGCTGGACACCCACTACAAGGTAAACCTAGTTTGGGGGCAACAGTTCTGCTCCAGCTTTGCTCCACGAAGCCCCCCCAGATGTGACTGTTTCCACTCACTGCTCCAGCAACCTCTGGATTTGACTCTTGTCCTCATGATTCAAGGTGATGGCTAGAGTTCCAACCATCACATACGCATTCCAGGCAGTGAGATGGAGACAAAGATAAAGAAGAGGGCAAAGGATCTACCAGCTTTCTTTTAATGAAAGTTCCCAGAAGGTGTCACATGACACTTCTACAAACATCCAGTTAGCTGTAACTTAGTCACATGACCAGAGCCGGCTGCAAGAGGTGTCTGAGAAATGCAGCTTCTAGGCAGACTCATACCCAACCAAGAACCAAAGGCTGTATCACTGTAGAGACTACATATCTGGGGATGGCTTGCTGACTCCACCATTGACAGAGAGGATAGATGGAGGGGCAGAGCACTGCTGTGTACCAGGCTAGGTACTTTATATATCTTATCTTAGCCCAACCTGAGTAGAGGCTATTATTATCCCTGACTCACAGAGGAGGCTTGGAGAGTTAAACAACTTGCCCAAGGACAAATAGTGGCAGAGTTGCAATTCAAAACTATCTTTTCCCTATATACCAGGCTGGCTAGGAAAATCAGAGGAGGGTGGGACCTAGGAGTTGCTGAAAGGAAATCTTTCAACAAAGGAGGGCTTGGCCAACAGTGTCAGAGACTGACAGGCCAAGCAGGATATGGGCTGAAGTGTCCTCTTGGATGTGGCAACAAGGGCACTGCTGGTAACCTTGGCAAGGGCATCTAGAAAGGTGGTAGGGGCGGGAGGCCAATCGTAGAGGGAGGGATGCAGAGAGAATATGTGTAGACTGGTCTTTCCGGAATGGTGTTGGCAGTGAAGGGAGGGCGGGCCAAGTAGCAGGGAAACATGGGCAAGAAGGAGGTGGAAGAGGGGAGCAGACACAGGAGTGGGAGAGAGAGGAGAGACAGCCTTCGGTGGAAGGTCTCCAGGCTGGGTGAGGTTTGGAAATCAAGAAGGAATCCTCTGCTCGCTCAGGAGGGAAGGAGACAGGAGGTGCAAAACCAGGTAGATCCAGAGAAGGAAGGGAGGGAAGAAGAGGGAAAGTTCCTGTTTTGTAAAATCTGAGACAGGGCTCTTGGCTAGGGAAGAGGGCAGAAGGCCAAGGGCCTGAGGGCAAGGGGTGGGACTAGCCTATGCTGTCCAATATATTAGCCAGTAGCCACATATGGCGATTTAAATTAATGCAAATAAAATAAAAAATCCAGTTCCTTGGTGGCGTGAGCCACATTTTAAATACTTAATGGCCACATGTGAATACTACATTGGGCAGCACAGATAGAAAACGTTCTGTCACTGGTGTTGGACAATGCTGGTCTAGACAGGACATGGTGATGGGGGTGCCCAGAGGCCCCATGTGGCCGGAGGGTCATGCCCAGGTGCCTGGAGACCCCCTCCATACTGTCTGCATTCAAGACCTGCCTCTCCTCTTTGGGACTCCAGCACAACTCCCTGCCAGGACAGTCAGCCCCTTCTTCAGCCCAGCTTTCATGAGGCCACGCCTGGGGTCTCTGCTTGTCCCAGTGCTAGGCCTTTATAAACCGGGGGGTGGGGCGTGTGGAAGATTGGGAAGAGCGCCAATGTTTGGGGCTGTGCCAGGACAGTGGCCCATGGATAAAGGTGAACCGATCCCCAGCACTGCCTCTGCGGGGCTCAGGACTTAAGGGTCAGCTCACCACCTCCACGGAGAGATCCAGAAGGACCTCAACGATCACTCAGCTCGGCTGTGAGTTTCAAAGCTGGGAATGCTGAGTTTCAGAGAAGGCGGGAAAGAAAAGGCGGAAGGCAGAGGTTTGAACTCATTCACCATTCCTTTTATTATCCTCCACCCCTTGATTTCTCAGACCTTGTGTTAACAGAGCTGGGCAGGCCTCGGGATCCGGGGCTGGGTCACAGGCAGAGAGCCCAGGGTTTGGCTGAGGCTCCCACCCTGACCAGAGGTAGCTGAGTAAGGATCCATCACTAAGAAGGGCCGTCCTGGCCTCACACGCTTGAGGATAACACATCCCCCTGGAGGCGACGAGGCGTGGACCATGAGTCTGTGCCTGGGGGTGTAGGTGTGTTCAGATGGTTGTGTTTGCAGGGCCCAAGCTGTTCAAATACACAGTGTGGATGGGAGGAGGGTGTGTATGTGGGTAAGTGCATGTGTGTGTGTGTGTGCATGAGACACTGTGTGGCTTGTGAGCACACTACCCACCTGCTAAAGGCCTGCACCTGCCAGGTGATGCTGGCTGCAAGGAAGCAGTTCTAAAACTTAGGTCCTGAAGGGTTATGCTATCCTCGGAGACCGTGTGACCAGCCCGGGGAATTCTGGTTCAGGAGATCTGGGGTGTGCCCAGATTCCGGCACTGTTTTTTGATTTCTTTTTTTGTTTTTGGCCTCATGGCTTGTGGGATCCTAGCTCCCTAACCAGGGGATCGTGCCCTGGCCATTGGAGGTGAAAATCCTAACCATGGGGCCACCAGGGAATTCCCAAGCGCCAGCACTGTTGACAAGCATCCCAGGGAGATCTGGGGCCAGTAGGAAACAGGGTTCAAGGTTAGCCATCCAACAGAACTCTCTGCGATGCTGCAAACATTTCTTGTGGTTCAGTAGGGCAACTGCTAGCCACATGTGTATTTACCAGTTGTAATGTGGCTAGTTGGAGGAACTAGTTTTAATTTTATTTAATCTTAATTAATTTAAATTTAAATAATCACCCACAGCTAGTGGCTGCCACTGGGGGGAGCAGAGGTCTGGAGACCCGAGGGAGCAGGATGGATGGATGAAGGCCCAGAGGGACAGGCACAAAGCTTGGGGCCAGGAGTGGCTGAGGCTGGGGAAGGCTTCCTTGGGAGGGTTGCAGAGTTGGAGCTGGAGCCCAGAATTGTGAGCTTCCGGCAACTTGGTGTCTGCCTGGCTGAAAAGGTGGGAGAGCTCCTGGGGAGACCCTTCCGCCCTGGCAGGGGGACCCCTCTGCCCTGGCTGGGACCCCACCAGCTCCCCAGGGAGCAGGGCTCCCCTCCTGCTGCATCCAGTAGGAGCTGAGGATGGAGGTCAGGATGTCTTCATGTTCTCCTGCAGAACCAGGGTGGAGCCGGTGGCTGCGGGGTCACGCTCTCCCTGTGTGAGCATCAGGGAGGGGGGGTGGGTCAGCCCCCCGGAAGCAGCTGGTTCCCTGGCACAGACATGTGGGCCTGAAGCCTCTGAAGGGCTGACTGGGGGAGTTCTCTTACCGGCCCTGGCCCCATGTCCTCCGCGTACTTGAACTTCTTCTGCTTGTAGTAGTGCCTCTTAGGCAGGATGTGGAGCAGAAGGAGGTCACAGAGAACCGTGGCCTGAGGGGGGCAGGTGGAGGGGAGAGCACAGGGGTCTGGGGACAGGGGCAGGACCCTGCACACCCCACCTTCACCCTTGCTGACCTCGGGGCCCAGGCTGAGTCCTGTCTGGACTCAGGTCCCCTCCCACCTCTGTCCTGCCCCAGCTCTGGGCCTTGGTTTCCTCAAACAGGCTGTGGGTCTAGAGAGGTGGGGTGGGCTCAGAAAGAGTGAACAATTTCCGTCAGGTTTTGGGGTGGGAGATTTGTTGCTGAGGTGTGGAAGGAGAGGGACTGACCCCAGCACAATGACCGCACGGCCTCAGCACTTACCACCCCGAAGATGCCGATCCCAGAGCCGATGGTGGTCATTGTGGGAATGATGTCAAACTTCCCAGCCTGGTGGCAGGGCCCAGGGGAAAGAAGGTTAATGGTCAGAAAGGTCTGGTGGACAAGGCCTTCCTCAGAAGCCCTAAGACTAGGCCAGGGGCAGGGGGACATCCCCCCCGCCCCCCGCAGTGTTTGCTGGCCCCACAGCCCACTGCCCACGGTTCTGGCTCTGCACAGGGACGCAGCTGCTGGTCAGGAGCCCTGGGTTTTGACCGTGGCTCTGCCACCCTGGACATGGGGAGTAGAGGGGCAGGGTAGTCATAGACTGGAAAGCCCTGCCCGCAACGGCACCTCTGTTATCAGATATAGAAGTACTGAATGAGGCCCATCCAACTTCCTGTCGCCTATAACCATAGACACCCCAGAGATGCCAGCAGGAACCAAGAATGTATCTCAGGCTGCCCTTCACACCAGACACTCACCTTGCCGTCCACCAGGATGTCAAAGCGAATCCCAAACACCTTGAAGAGGTGCCGGTAGTTGGTCCCATTCTCCACGAAGTGCCTGGCAAACCTTGGGCAAGGGGAGAGGTCGCAGGAATGATGGAGAAATGTCTCGGGTCGAGAGTTCCCAGAGCATCATGGATGCAGGAGCCCTTAGAGGTCCATAAGGAAGTCCCATGACCCCAGTATTATATAGAAGGGGAACTGTAGGCAGGAATCCAAGCCTCATTCCAGGAATGCTGTATTCAACCATCACCCTAACTCCTGACGTTGGCAATTTTCCCAGCCAGTCCTGGCCAGGTGGGCCTCAAGGGAGTGGAGAGCCAGGGGTGGGGCTCAGGCCTCTAAGCTTGTGCTCCCTGCTTGGCCAATCCCAAGAGGATGGGAGTTTCCCAGGCTCCTCTGCTCCCCTCCTGGGGACACCTGCTTGATCTCAAGGGATGATGGGAGTAGAAAAACCCGCAGGGCCCCAAGGAAGGAAGAACTGGTGGGGGCCCGGCAGGCACCTGAAGTTGAAGCCTTGAGACAGCTTTTTCTCCTGGTACAGCCCATGGAACTCGTAGACGGGTTTGCAGTGCCGCACGTGCCAGTCCAGGTCACAGTGCCAGTCGATGGTGATGCCCACCACCCCACCCTGCCAGGGACACAGGAGCTCAAGATCCAGGGTATGGGATCAAGAACTCCTGCCTGGTAACTGGTGCCAGCAGTCTCTTGAAGAGGGAACATTTTTGTTTAGCTGTTTGTTTCAGAAGAGACTCTGAGGAGCTGCTTGAGGGTTGAGGCCCTATCACCATCTCTGGCTCCAGTTCCTGCCCATCACACTCCAGTTTCTAGAATACACCAAATTCTTCCTACTGCAGGGCCTTTGCACATGCAGTCACCCCCTCCCCTGCCCCCCATTCCCACAAGGCTTCCTCTTTCTCATCCTTTGGTCACTTCTCCTAAGAGGCCTCCGCTAACCACTACCCTCAGTCTCAAATATGCCCCTATGATTCCTTCTAAAGCATTTTCTTCTAAAACATGTGCTACTTTGTAGCCATATATTTATTTTCTTTGATTATTCACCCATGACCATAAACTCCACAAGGGTGGGACTGTCTCATTTGCACTGATTCCTAAGTCTTAGCATGGGAGGCAAGGAAATCACTGTTGAATTAAAGAATGAGTCTGTAGGGACGTCCCTGGTGGCTAAGACTCTCTGCTCCCTATGCAGGGGGCCCGGGTTCGATCCCTGATCAGGAAACTAGATCCCACATGCCTAAAATGAGAGTTTTCATGCTGCAACTGAAGAACCTGAACGCCACAAGGAAGATCGGAGATCCCGTGTGACTCAATAAGACCTGGTGCAGTCAGATGAATAATACATATTTTTAAAAGTAAGTCTGTAAAGACATGGGCTGGGAAGAAAGAACCTGAGAAAGTGAGGCTCCTCTGGGCGACACAAGAATCAGGAACAGGTGGGGATGGCCTGAGCACCAGGAGAGCTGGGGGTCAGGTCAGAGCAGGGGGACTAGGCAGGTAAGCGGGAGGCTAGATGCTTGCAGACAATGGTGATGGGTGAGAAGTTCCCAGTAGGGGTGGTAGGGAGATTTTTAAGAAAGGGGAAAACTATAACATTCAGCTTTCTGGTCCTGTGTGTTGCTACAGAGTAAACCCCCTCCAGGGGTTGGCAAGCTGAGGCTTAAGGGCCAAATTTGTTTACCTATTGTCTGTGGTTGCCTTTGCCCTGGCTCGTTGGAATGGAGACCATGTGATCTGTGGCTCATGCTTTTCTCTGGCCCTTTAAAGAAAAACTTTTTTGACCCCCATACTAGATAAAGGTATAGTGAATGAGGGCTTGCCAGGTAGCTCAGTGGTAAAGAATCCGTCTGCCAAGCAGGAGACGTGCGTTCGATCCCTGCGTCAGGAAGATCCCCTGGAGAAGGAAATGGCAACCCACTCCAGTATTATTGCCCCGGAAATCCCATGGACAGAAGAGCCTGGTGGGCTACAGTCCATGGGGTTGCAGGAGAGTCAGACAAGACTGAGCGACTCAACAACAACAAATGGTGAGCGAGTTGTTTTGGTGGGTGATGTCGCAGAAAGGGACTGATTTCCATCTCTGAGTCCCTCGGGAGCCTGATGAAATGAATCACGGGGAAACATGTACCTTGGCTGCCTCGGGCCAGGCAGCACTGAAGTGCTATCCTGTGTGTGAACTCACTTGATGTCAGGACAACCCTGCAAGATGTACTGTTATTTCTCCCACTTCACAGGAGTACAAGCTCAGAAACACTGAAGGTAGGGAATTTGTCTGAGGTCATGTGGCTCATTCGGGCCAGAGCCAGGATCTGAACCCAGTCAGGCTGGTCTGTGCTCTTTATAAGGTTCCCCTCCTCTCAGAACCCCACACAACTGCACATCTGAGAATTCCTCCAGAATTCCCAGGAACCCCAGGCAGGCACAGGACTTCTCAAGGGCATGGACCATGGGATTTAAGTTGCTTTTATCTCATATTTAAAAGGCAGGACTCCCCTGGTGGTCCAGTGGTGAAGAATCCACCTGCCAACGCGGGGGACGTGGGTTTGATCCCCGGTCTGGGAAGATCCCACTTGCTGTCGGACAACTACGCCTGTGCGCTGCAACTCCTGAAGCCTTTATGCCCTAGAGCCCGTGCTCCCCAACAAGAGACGCCACCGCAGCGAGAAGCCTGCTCACTGCAACTAGAGTGTAGCCTAAGTTCCCATGCAGCAATGAAGACTCAACGCATCCAAAAATTAACTAATGAATGAAAAAGAAAAACAGTGAGCCCTCAGAAGACATCCAGGTCATATCTTCCTATGGCCATTCATTCTGGACACCTCCTCAGTGCCAGGTCCATGCCAGGGCCTGCTGAAGACATAAGCCTGCATCTCAGGGGCCCCCACTATTAAGGGATAGGTCTGTATATATGGTCAACCAGAACCAGGGACTTGGGGGGACAGGGTGGTTAACTGGGCCTGTTAACCCAGGTCAAAAAATAAGGCCCGATGATTTGGGGTCCAGGCCTCCCCACGCACCCGGCACCATACCTTTTCGGCCAAGGTGCTGAAATTCTGGCCTGACTCCTGAACCACGTAGCCGAGCTTGAAGACGGGACACAGAGGGTGCAAGGTCTTGTGATAGAGGCAGGTCTTCATGTAGCGGGCGTCCACCTCCTCCACCAGGTTGCGCCTGCGTAGGCAAGAAGGCATTGGTGGCGGCAGCATGCCAGCTGGGAGGGTACCCACCCTGCCGGGAGGTCGGGGGGCCCTCCCTCCCAGGCCCCAGAGACGCCCCTCCCACAGCCCTTGGAGATGAAGGCAGCTCCCCCCGCCCCCACACACAGGGGCCCAGCCGAGCTTCTGCCCCCAGAAGGAAGTCAGCATGAGTGCAGGGTGACAGAGGTGACAGGTTGTGGCCTCCCAGGGCTGCCTGCGTTTCTGCCTGCTTTTCCCACGAACCTGGTGACCTTGAAGCGTGGAAAGCTGATGCTGTTCTTGATGAAGAGAGTGAAGTTCTCGGCCTCTTGGAGAAGGGCAGGGCTGGAGGAGACCACACTCACTCACCACCCTCTCCCCAGGAATCCCTCACGTGCCCACAGGAGCTGGGCCGGGGGGTGGGACTGTGAGAGCCCATGGGATCTTCCTGGGTCGTTGGAGGGGTGGGCGGGCTGTAATGTGGACTCCCAGGCCCCTCGATCAGGGGCTGGGGCATCTTTGGCCTGGGCGGCACATATGGGGTGTGGGTGGGGTTCGAAGAAGTGGGGACAGACCCTTCCCAGAGCACAGATCCAGACACCCCTCTGTCTGGGCTGGGGACACTGCTCCCTGCTCCCGGGAAGGACAGAGCGTTACCATGGGATATTGTCGTCCACCTCCACAGGGCACCAGCCGAAGATCTCACAGGTCTGCATGGTGTCGTTGAAGGCCACGCACTTGCCCGTGCGGATGCCTGCAGTGAGGTGGAAGCCCTGGGTACCCACCCCAAGCTGGCGCTGCAGAGGAGACTCCCCAGGCCCTGCTCCTGGGAGCCCCCAGTGATGGGGCACCCAAGAGCAGAAGCCTGAGGACAGACCTTCTGGGATGGGGGAGGCCAAGGTCGGGGTGGCAGGAGGGGAGGGGGCAGGAAGGACTTCCGGGTGGAGGGAGCCTGGAGCTACCGAGGGGAACGGCCTTACCTTGAGCCTTCCTTTCTGCCTTTCCCGGGGTGCAGCCGCTATTATTCGTGCATGTGCCCCCTTCCGGGTTCTGGGGGAGAAGAGAGCTGCTGGCCACCGGCCCCCTGGGTTGGGTCCTGGGTAGATACACACACACCCCACCCCACCCCCACCCCCAGGGCCCTAGGGAGGGTGTGGGGCAGGATCTGAGATCCCTTCACTGTGACCCTCGCTCACAGCCTCCTTTCCCCAGTCCCCCCACAGCCTAGACCCCGCTGGGCTTCTGCCCAGCTGCCCCGGGGCTGATGTCAGCCGGCAGGGATTGGGGGGGAAGGTGTTGGGGACTGGGCAGGCACTGAGGCTCAGCATCCTGCTTGACACACAGCTGGGAGGGAAGCCTCAGCTCTGCCAACAGCGGGCCATCCCTCTGTGTGAATATGTGCCTGAAATTCCATCATTATGGCCCCGCGGGGAGTCTTAATCAGGATTTCCCTCCAATACTTAAGCGCGCCTCCTCTTCCACATTACTTTTTCCTGAAGATTCAAGAAACAGGGAATGGGCAACAGTCCTCACCTCTGCACAGTGACCTTGAGCCTGCCGGGGGGTGGCGATAAAATTGGTCATGACCACAAAGGAGCTGTCCCCCTGGAAGTGAGAGGCAGGGGGAGGGCAAGACAGGGTTCTGAGCTAGGAGAAGAACCTGGAGAATGCCAGCACGGTCCCAGCCAGCCCCCAGAACCCACAGGACCCCCAGCAGCCTCTACACTCATGACATCAGAGTGGGGTGATGTTACGAGGCTGCATCTGTCCCTCGTTCACGGGGAAACCGAGGCCCAGAGGGAGAGAGAGGAGCGAGGCTGGTCCCACAGGGAGGCAGGACAGAACCTAACCCAGCCCTGAGCCTGCACACCCTGTGGGTGGGAGGTGCCTCCCCACAGTCAGCTCACCTGTGCTGGGAAGACATAGTCGGCCACATCCCAGACCTGGGGGCCCAGGCTTGGGAGCTGTGTCACAGCCAGACCTTTGAGTTTAACAGACACACTGCTGATGAGGCCGCTCGAGGTCTGGTAACCCTTCTCGTAGACAAACACCCACCTGGAGGGGGATGAGGAGGGCAGAGGGGCCAGAGCTGGGCAGAGCCACTCCAGGATGGCACGAGGCTGTGGACCACTGCCTCTTCCTCCCTCCCCTGGGAAGGGGAAGTCCTTTCCCTTCCCGTCCCCAAGTGAATCTCTGAGGCCACTCTACTCCTAAAGCTTCGTGTGGGGCTGGAGGCAGAAATCTTCACCTGCCTCCCCGTGTGGGAGCTCCATCCTTCTTTTCACTAGGAAAATACTAATTCCCAGGGAGAAGAGCCCCTGCAGGTCTCTTTCGGCTTCTTTTCCAAGAGTAGGGTTTGTTGGAGGCCAAGTGTCTTGGGGGCTTACATGGTAAAGAATCTGCCTGCAATGCAGGAGACCTGGCTTTGATCCCTGGGTCAGGAAGATTCCCTGGAGAAGGGAATGGCTACCCACTCCAGTATTCTTGCCTGGAGAATCCCCTTGGACAGAGGTGCCTGGCAGGCCATAGTCCATGGGGTGGCAAAGAGCTGGACCCAATTGAGCAACTAACACTTTCACTTTTCAAGCTTCTTGGACCCCAGTCTTCATCCCTATCTCCTTCCTTCCTGACTCCCTCCCACTGAGAAACAGCAGAGCATGGTGATGCCTGAAAGCCTGACCTTTGGTGTCCAAGTCCGGGCTTGCATCGCACAGGCTGTATGATTTGGGGAAGCTATTCAATTCCTCTGTTTCAGTTTCCTTGTAAAATGTAAACAACAAGAGTACCAACAGTACTTGTGCTGTGAGTCAATGCCCAGAAAAGCACTTAGAATGGAAACTGACGTGGGGTAAGCGCCATACAGACAGACATTAGCTACTATTATCTCAGCAATGCTGGGAGCTTCTGGGAAGGGGGACTGACTGGAAGGGAAGCCAGAGGGGGCTTTTGAGGGACTTGTAGCATCTGACCCCAGTTGAGGCCCTGGTGGGAGTGGCTCAGGCTGGAGGCCTCCCAGCGTTCCTGGGAAATTCTGGCCTTCCCCTCCCAGCATCAAGAACCCCTGCTCTTGAGACTTCTCTGGTGGTCCAGTGGCTAAGACTCCATGCTCCCAATGCTAGGTGCCCAGGTTCCATCCCTGGTCAGGGAACTAGATCCCACAAGCCACAACTAAGAGTTCTCATGCCACAACTAAAGATCCTGCATGCTGCAACGAACACCCAACTCAGCCACATAAATAAATATTTTCAAAAAAAGAACCCCTGTTCCTCTAGGTTCTTCACTTTTAATCTGGGAGGTTTCGTGGGGCCAACCTCCCTCCTGGCTCCATGGTGGGGGCACATGGCCACGGCCTGCTAAGCAATGTTCCACCGCCCTTGCAAAGGCAATGGGTCTAAACATGGGCACAGAATCCCAAGGAGTTTCAGCAATGAGGCCAGAATTTTTCTGGGAATTACTGGGAAAGAGACAATGTTTCGGCTGAGTGGCTAAGCCAGGTGGTTACGAGACCAAAACTATGGTGAGTCATCTTTGTTATCTCACGGAGAGAGCAAGCCTGAAAATGAAGACAACTTAAGGGAAAAGCCAGGCCAGGAGATGGAGAGGACTGGACTGCTGACAATGCTGTTTGAGCACCTGGATCCTGCCATACCTGAAGCATGTTGAAAAATCTACTTCTGGATTTTCCAGTTACATGAGCTCATAAATTCTTTTCCTTTATTTAAGCCAGTTTGGGTTTGGTTTCCGCTGCTTACAAATGAGAGTTCTGGAGAATACTCCTCTCCAGGGTGTGGTCCCCTTCCTTCAGGAAAGAATCTTGACGATTCCCTGTAAGAGAATATGTGTGTGTGTGTCTCTGTGTGTGTGTGTGTGTCCATGGGACCCATCAGAGCGTGTAGTTGTGTATCTCCAGGGCAAATCTGTGAGCACCACTGTGGCTGCGACTGAGTGTCGGGAGGTGTGTTTCTGCCTCTATCACTGCTCACACTACCTTTAACCCACCTGTCCAAAGCAGAGCTCAAAGTCCCTCTCTGTCCCCCAGAACTCAGGCCCCAAGACAGAATTCTCCCGGCCTCTTATTCTCAGAGTCACTGCTGGCTCTCTGGGTGTGTCTCCCTGCTCCAGGCCCCAGGAAGGTAGCCCACCATGTCCTCCTCTCCCCTCCTAGAGTCCACTCCTCTCCTCTAAGACCCTTCCCTGCCACCCCCTTCCCCCACCCCAGCCTGGTGCTGGCCCCCAGACCCCTCCTCCCAAACTGAAGCATGGTCACTGCTGCCCCCTGCAGGTCTCAGATGGCAACAGGTGAGGCCCAACGGAGGCTCCTAATGCTCAGCATCCTGAGCCTGCCTCCCTGTCTCCAGCCCCACCAGGGAAGGTGGACCATCTGAAGTCGCTGTTATCAGGGAAGATGGGGAACTGCCCCGTATTCTGAACCCGCTGCAGGAGAGGTCACTGGCCCACCTCTTGGCAGCTCCCATCCCTGACATCCTAGCAGCATTTCTCTCTTTGCCCAAACCCAACTCCTCATGTAGAGATGGAAAAAGGGAGGCCTAAGGGAGTGTAAAATCAGTCCTGAAAGTTCATTGGAAGGTCTGATGCTGAAGCTGAAACTCCAATACTTTGGCCACCTGATGCGAAGAACCAACTCATTGGAAAAGACCCTGATGCTGAGAAAAAAATTGAAGGCAGGAGGAAAAGGGAACGACAGAGGATGAGATGGTTGGATGGCATTACCGACTTGATGGACATGAGTTTGAGCAAGTTTTGGGAGTTGGTGATGGACAGGGAGGCCTGACATGCTGCAGTCCATGAGGTCACAAAGAGTAGGACACAATTGAGCAACTGAACTGAACTGAAAGGAGTGTCCCTTCTGTGTCTGAGACAGACCCCAGGCTTGAAGGCTCCAGCCCAGGATTCTGTCCCCTTTTCTGCAGAGCAGCCTGGAATCAACGTGTCTACCGGGAGCCAACGGAGGCTGTGCCCTGGAGCCAATGTCGCCATTCCCGCTGTGTCTGCCCCCAGGAGCTGTCAGTCCCAGGAGGCGCAAATCTGGCCTCGGTGACCTTAGTTCTGATAATAACAGGCCCGCTCCTCCAAAGCCGTGCTCACCTTGACTGGGTCTCGTAGTCACCAGCCCAGGAAGGCCACCGAGGGAGTCTGATGCCAAAGACACCAGCATCTTCAGAAGCCCCTTCTCTTGCAGAAATTCTCTTTCCCATTCTTTCCTCCTCACCCTCCACAACACCCTGACCTGGTTTCTCTTCTCCAACAGCCCCTTGTGGGAGGGGTCACATGGTGGAGCAGCTGAGAGTGCAGCCTCTGGAGCCGCAGAGGTCAAGGTTCAAGTACCAGCAGTGCCACTCACCAGCTGTGTGGCTTCAGGCTAAAGACTAAACCTCTTGAGCCCTGGATTTCTCAGTTAAAAAGGAAGTGAAGGCACTTGCTTCAAAGATGCTGCTCACTCAGCAAATGCAGCCCCTCATTGAGCCTGGGCCTCAAAAAGAGAAAGGGTCGAGGTGACTGGAGGATGTCCCCGTGAGTTTTCTTTAAGGAAATCAGCACAGTGCTTGGCATGCAGTTAGCCCATAAAAAAAAAAAATCCTATTTATTTACGGTTTCTGGTGCTCCTTCACTAATTCCTCCTTAAATGCCAATCTGCCCCCATCCCCTGGCTTCTATTCTCAGCCCAGGCGGAACTCTGTGTGCACTGCTGCAGGCACACGTTGTCCCTGATTTTCTATCTCCGCTTCTGCGCTCTCCTCCGGGATTCAATCCCACACATTCATTTAGTCATTCAACAAGTATCTATTTATCAGGCCCCTATTATGTGCCAAGGACTGCTCTCGGCATGAAGAATACAGAAAAGAACCAAATAAACCCAAATTCTGCTCTCAAAGAGCTTATCCGAATGTTGAAGCTCCAACTGTGAATGTCTGGTGACACATATTCCTTCCCCTTGCCCCGGGCCCACCCTGCCTCCAAACATCTCACAGTTACCTCCAACTTAACTTGACCCTTTGGAAACAGTCTGGAAGTTCCTTGAAAAGTTAAACGTGGAGGAACTTCCCTGGTGGACCAGTGGTTACGAATCTGCCTTGCAACGCAGGGGACACAGGTTCAATCCCCGGTCTGGGACTAAGATCTCACATGCCGCACAGCAGCTACGCCTGTGTGCTGCAATAGCTGAGTCCAGGCACCACAACCAGAGAGTCTACAGTGAAGATCTCACGTGTGGCAACTAAGACCTGAGGCAGCCCTATAAACAAATAGATAAATATTAAAAAAGAAGTTAAACATGACATTACCATTGGCTCAGCGACTCCACACCTAGTGAGAGAGTCAATTCCTAGGCAGGTTGACAAGAAGTCCAGGGTCCCTGAGAAGGAGAGCTTTGGGGTTCTTGAGGAGGAGAAAGGGACCTGGAATTCTCAAGGAAGAAGAAAGGACAAACATCTCTTTTTCTCTACATTCCTTAGTTTTAGTCACATACATCTTTTTTTTCTTTAAGCCTGGAACTGATGATTACACAACAAACAACTCAGTTTAAACTCTATACTAAGGATTGTATAACAACAATGTATCCTGCTTGGACAGTTTCTCCTTCCTGAAAACCTTCTGGCTAATCCTCTTATCTTAAAATGTAAAATATGGGAGTAGGTCTAGTAAGAGCTTTACAACCTTGAGACATTCTTTTGATTTATGGCAATAACTAATTTAAAAAGTATATAACTCCCTTGCTTAGAATAGCGAGGGGGACACTCTCCGTCCCCCTTCTGATGCCTATGTCAGAAGCTCTCTCTGTATGTTTTCACACTTTAATAAAACTCTGCTACACAAAAACTCTTGAGTGAGTAAGCCTGGTCCCTGGTCCCAAAGCTAAATCTTCCTTGGAGATCAAGAATCTGACACCGTTCACCATAAGCTATTACCAGGAACTGAATACCCAAGAAAATTGAAAACATATCCTCATAGAAACTCATACACAAATGTTCACAACATTATTCACAAGCAGAAAGTGGAACAACTCAGATGTCCAGCAAAGTGTGAATTTCCATACAATGGCATATTATCCAGCCCTGAAAAGGACTGAAGAACTGAAACGTGTTATAACCAACATGGATGAACCTTGCAAACATGATGCTAAGCAAAAGAAGCCAGACACAAAAAGGCCACATGTTATATGAATTTATCTACATGAAATATCCAGAATAGGCAAAGTAAGGGGTAAGGAGCCATCGGGAATGATTGCTAACGGTGTAAAGTTCATTTTCAGTTTAGTTCAGTCACTCAGTAGTGTCCGACTCTTTGCAACCCCATGAACCGCAGCACGCCAGGCCTCCCTGTCCATCTCCAACTCCCGGAGTCCACCCAAACCCATGTCCATCGAGTTGGTGATGCTATCCAACCATCTCATCCTCTGTCATCCCCTTCTCTTCCTGCCTTCAATCTTTCCCAGCATCAGAGTCTTTTCCAATGAGTCAATTCTTCGCATCAGGTGGCCAAAGTATTGGAGTTTCAGCTTCAACATCAGTCCTTCCAATGAAGTTCATTTGGGGGTAGTGCAAATATTCTGGAATTAGATAGTGGTGATGGTGGCTCAGTGGTAAAGAATCTGCCTGCCAATATAGGAGACGCAGGAGACATGGATTCAATCCCTGAGTTGGGAAGATCCTCTGGAGGAGGGCATGGCAACACACTCCAGTATTCTTGCCTGGAAAATCCCATGGACAGAGGAGCCTGGCGGGCTACAGTCCATGGAGTCGCAAAGAGTTGGACATGATTGAGCACAATGGTTACACAACTTTGTGATTATACTGAAAACCACCAACTTGCATATTTTGAAAGGATGAATGTTATGACATGGGAAATCCATCTCAAAACAAAAGTTCAATTGGGCCAAACTGAACGCCTCAACTCCTCACAGAACTTGCTTCTCTGGTGCCTTCGTCCTGCAGGAAAGAACTGTACCTACCCCAGCCTCCAGGCTCACAGCCTGGACATGGTGACGCTCACGCCCCCTCTTCTGCCTCATGTTCATATTCTTTGCATCCCTCCATCCTTCCTGTCTCCCCTTGGCTTTCACCAAAAGACCCAGAGAACTTTTTGTAGGGGGAGGGGCTGAGACACAAGATGAGCTGGATCAGACTCCAGGGCAGCTCTGACGTGGGACAGGGAGGACAGGTTGTGCGGTTGGTGATACAGGGTGCAACCTTGGGCCACATACTATCAAGCAGGCAGAGCATCCTTGGGGAGGGCCCAGACCAGACTCCAAGCCCAGGAAGGATTGTGTTCAGAGCTGCAGCCCACACTGGGGGCTCAGGAGTTAATCAACATGCAGATGAGTCAAGCTGATGATTTATGTCTTTAAATGTTTTGAACGAGTTGCCAGCCTCTAAAAATGAAGAGATGTTCCTTTCACCCATAAATTCCAGTTTCCTACTGCTCTTGAGAAGCCAGGAACTCTGGCCATGCCAGCCATGTTGCTCAGAGCTGCAGTGGTGGGCAGAAGAGGCTGAAGAGGCCCCAGCGCGGGGCCCGCGGGATGGTGACCTGTCTTCCTTGCTCACTGCTTCTTCCTTGGCCTCACCTTCTCCTGTCATCACTGCTGCTTCTTCTCAGATGTCCTGCCTCTGACTGCCCCACTCTACACCAGTACCTGCTTGTCCTGGGCCTTCCCCTGTTAGAGACCCTCCCATGGCCCCCCACCACATACAGAAAAAAGCTCATGCTCCTCAGCTCAGCGTTGAGAGGTCTGAGCCAGTGGCCCTGCTTGCTCCTCCCTCCCCTCTCCCTTGGCTCCATTCATGCTCCCCCAGCCTAGTCCTAGTGACGCTTTTGCTGTTCCCTCCCTGCCCCAGGACCTTTGATCACACTCTGCTTTCCTGCAGAAGTGCCTGGACTGAGGTGGGTACTCAACCAGGCTCCACCAATCAGGATACTCCCTTTCCTTGGCCACAATGATTGGTTCTGAGATGAGCACATGACCCAACCCCAGCCAATAAGAGTTGGACCTGGGACTTTACTGGAACTCTGAAGAAGAAAACAAAAGTGGGCCCCAAGGCCGCCGGGGGCCCTTTTTTCCTCTCTCTCCCCTTGTCCACCCTGTACCCCACCTCTATCCCAGGGAATCTGACACAGCCCTAGATACAGCCCTGTAGAAGTGTCCTCAGATACCTCTTTCCCAGCGATAATTCATATCTCTCCTTATCTCTGATAGGTGCACTCCGGGATCAGAGGCATGTGGCTTCAAGTGCTCCATATAGGGGCACACAGAAGGCCCACGGGAAAGCCAAGAGCAAGATTGCCTGGACTACAGCCTCCTGGCGTTTGCTTAAGCCTGGTTCTATCACTGTGTCACCTCCTCCAGAAAGCCTTCCCAGACTTCCCTTCCCACGTGGCATTCACAAATCCCCTTGAGACCCACCTGTGTGTGCAGCCGGACCTCTCTCCTTCCCTGACCAGAGCACGCTAGACAGGGACATGTCCCAGCATACCCCATGTATGGACCTGCGAGGTCATGAATGACAGCCCACTGCCTGCACACCTCCAGTATGGAGAGCTCATCACCTCCCAGGAGACAGCTCTAACTGTAAATTAACTGCCTGAATTTTTAAAAATTATTCCTGTATTTATTTATTTTTGTCTGCACTAGGTCTTTGTTGTTGCGTGCAGGCTTTCTCTAGTTGCAGTGAGCGGGAGCTACTCTCTAGCTCTGGTGCTGGGCTTCTCATTGCTGTGGCTTCTCTTGTTGTGAAGCACAGCCTCTAAGGCTCGCAGACTTCAGTAGTTGCTGCTCACAGGCTCTAGAGTGCAGGCTCAGTAATTGCAGCACATGAGCTTAGTTGCCCCAAGGCATCTTCCCGGACTAGGGACTGAACCCGTTTCCCCTCACTGGCGGGTGAATTCTTAACCACTGGACCATGAGAGAAGTCCTAACCGTCTTACCATGCTCAATCGCCCAGTCATGTCTGACTCTTTGCAGCCCACCAGGCTCCTCTGTCCATGGAATTCTCCAGGCAAGGATACTGGAGTGGGTTGTCATTTTCTCCTCCAGGGGATCTTCCCAACACAGGGATTGAACCCCGGTCTCCTGCATTACAATAGGTTCTTTACTGTCTGAACCACCAGGGGAGGTTGGGAGGTGGGAGTAATTAAAGAAAGGCCATCCCTCCTCAGGAAAGAGCAAACTGTTGAGCCTTCAGGCAACGTCTTTAGAGGGTCCCCCAACCCCTGCTCCGTGGAACAGTTGAGAAACCGACACCTCAGATTGTGAGACCAAGTGCAGCCGGGGTTTGGCTGCGGGCGCCTGGCTGAGCGGTCAGTGCAGTGATGGGAAGTGGCCAGATGAGGGCGCCAGAGACAGCAGGAGTCGAAGCCCCAGCCAGAGTTTGAGGGTCAGGTTAGGGGGTGTTTCAAAGGGACCCTGCCTTCCTCTGCTTTGTGACTTGGGCAGGTCAGTGCCCTTCTCTGAGCATGCTTCAATTCCAGGATATCAAGGCTGACTTTGGAGCCACACGGCTGGATTCAGATCCTGATCCTGCCTCTTTGTACCTGTGAGAACCTGGCTAAGTCAGTGTCTGAGTCCTAGCAACCCTAAGGAGTCCGCGTCCATTTGGAAGCTGAGTGTACCGACTGGGGAGGTCCCCGTCCCTGGAGACATGTGTTCAGCACCGGGTGGCGCCCTGGGGCATACGCTGCGGCCGAGGCTGGGTTGGAGGACTGTCTCCTTTCCCTCTGATGGCGCCGCTCGCAGTGCTGACCCGGAAGCAGAAACGGAACCACGGGGGCTGCAGTGAGGACAACATTCTCCCGGCCTCTTGGGGCGAGGGGTCGACTGGGCCAGGCTGGGCAACCCCTCCCTTCCCTGGAGGGTCAGGAGTGTGGCTAATGGTGGACACACATCGGTCCCCCATTAGAAGGGTTCTCCCTCGTGAGGCGGGAGAGGAGGCCAGGGATCAGGAGGCCCCGGTTCAAACTGGGACTGGATGCTGACTTGCTGCGTGACCTGGAAACCCCACTGCTCCCCTCTGAGTCCGTTTCCCTCACAAGCTCAGTGACACTGCAGATATCAAATTGGTTTGTGGACAGAAGGCCGAGGCCGAAAGGTCTCAGGAGGCTGGTCTGTGGCCATGCTCCACCTGCACGGTTCTGAGATCTGGGGGGCCGGATGGAGCCAGGGGGAGGCTGCTTCGCATGATAAAGGCCCTGGGGGAACCAGGACTATGTGGTCGCCATTTGGCCTCCTGGTCAGCCCGCCCTGGTTTGGTCTCACGGCAAAAATGGGGATGTGGAGACCAGAGCGGCAGGGTTACTGGTGCCCCAGACCCCCCAGCAGGGGCTGAACCCCCTTCAGTGGCCCTGGGGCCTCCAGGAGCCCTCTGTGAGGTCACTGTAAGTGCACCTGCTTCCCCCAAAACACACCAGGGCACTCAGTCCCAGAGACACACCCAGCAGCCACACCCGATGAGCAGGTGCCCAGACACGTGAAGGCACATACACTCCACGCAGAGCTCTGGGTATGACACACACACTCCACACCCCACACGTGTGATCACACCAGCACCTCCTGAGGCAGCCAGGAGGGTGGCCTTTGCGTGGGCCCCAGAACAGCAGCCCATAGGTGAGTCCCACCTACTTCTGCCCCTGCAGCCCTGGGAGGGTGGGATAGGTCCCATGATGCCCAGAAAGGGGCTGTCATCCCCGGGGCCAGAACCGACCTCCGACCTCCGTGGGACATGGCACCTTTAAGGCACCAGGTGTTCTGAACCTGCAGGTGTCTCTGCTCAGAGTCTCAAGCAGCCCAGGATGCCTCTAGTTCAGGCAGGCAGATGGGAGCAGAGTCTATCCCATCCTGGCTTATAAGGCGCGGCACTGCCTCCATCCCTCAGCAGCGCATTGGGAGGTCAGAGGTGGAAGGGCTCTGTGGGGCTAGCTGGGGCCTCCAGCGCCTCCCACCACCCAAGGGAACCGTTAGCCATGAGTCAGTTCCTCAGAGCCCAATGGCTTAACCTCTTGTCCCCATATGATTGGGGGCAGGGCTGCCCCTTGCCCCCGCGTCCCCATCTCAGCAGCGAGTTAGCAGTTTCCCATTCCTTCTGAAAGGCACCGCAATGGTTTGTCAGGAGGGATGACAGCCATGGAGAAAAAGAGGGGCTCTCTGGGGGTCATGGCAGGTATCGCAGAGCCTGGAGGACAAGCCCAGGCTGGGGGCTGGTGGCAGGGGCGGCGGGGAGGGGGGTCCACACTCACCCAACGACATAGACCAGGACCACGAGCTGGATCAGGCGGAAGACGATGCCCACCTTCTTGTTGCGCACGAGCACCATCCGGGGGGTGTCGTACTCGAAGAAGAAGGCAGCCAGCTCATCCTGGAGCCGCTGCGCCATGGTGGCCGGGCTGGGGGCTGAGAACCGAGCCCCTTGCAAAGCCCTGGCTCCCCAGGGGTGAGCCAGGCGTCAACACTCACAGCGTCTACAGCGGCGAAGCTTCTAGGGGTTCCCCAGCCCCTCACAAAGAGCAGGGTGGGGCAGGTGGGCCCAGAGGTCAGGAGTCAGAGGTCGGTTGGCAGCACTTGAGTTGGGTGGGAGCGTCCTTGGGTGATCAGAGCTGCTCTTGGCCCCTGGCAGGCGATGGACTGTGGGCCAGCCGTGCCTGTGGACAAATAAATTCCCAAAGATAGATGGGGGCGGGGCTGGAGGGGGGCCACCCAGGCCCAGCCCCATTGCCCCTCCTGACTCCGCCTGGGCGGCTCTGCTGGGCCTCCGGAAACAGGAGTTGTTGGCAGGAAACCACGGGCCACCCATCACAAGAAAAAGATAAAGCCGTCAGCCCCCCACAAACCTGGTAGAAGAGAGCTGGGGGCTCAGGCCAGGGCTTGGGTGGAGTGGCCTCTGGCTGAAGCCCTCCCCACACCAGGAACTCATCCTGTATCCAAACATCTTCCCTGCCCTCCCTCGGCCCCCAGGTGGAGCGCGCAGGCCCTGGGGCTCTGCAGTCAGGAGGGCAGAGAGGAAAGAAGGCTGCTTCCCGTCCGGCTCCCTGACACTTGCTGAGCTCGAGGCAGGACCCCCACCCTGACCTCCCAGACCCCCTTCCATCCATCCATCCATCCCTCTGGATCTGAGCCTGGCCTGTGCCCAGTCAACTTCAGCGCTGGGCTGGCATCTCCGACCCCCCACTTATCCTGTCCTGGATTCACCTCCACGACCCTGAAACCAGCATTTCTGGGTACCTGGGCGCAGGTACCCAGACAGGATAAGGGCCACATCTATCACACGTCTTGGTCGGGCTCCCCGAGCCCAGCTCTGAAAGCCTGACGTGAGATGGTCTCGGTGCCCACTCCCAGCTCTGCTGCCTGCTGAGGGGCCTGGTGCCTTGCCTCACCTCCCGTCCTCCTCTGTGAAACCGGGTGAGAGTGAGCTTTCTTCATAAGTCGACATCCCGGGGGTGGGTCCTGACAACACTGAGGACAGAGAGACAGGCGGCTCTTGAGCTTGGGGTACAGCTCCTCCGCGGCCCCTGCGCTCGCCCCCCGGGGGCTGGGCTGGATGGGGACAAGTCCTGTGCAGGCTCTCAGAACACCAGAGCTGGAAGCTTCTCCCCCAGCTCCCCCTCATTCTGCAGGTGAGGAAACCGGAGCTCAGAGAGGAGAAATGAATTGCCCAAGCTCACCCTGCAAGATGCAGGAAGCCGCCGCTGGAAGCAGGAAGGACTCCCTGGCCCTCCCTCAGCCCAGGCAGGGGATCCCTCAGCCCCGCCCCTGACCCTGTCCAAGCTGCCCCACCCTGAAGTCTGATAGGAGTCTTCTTCCTGGCGGGGCTGTAACTGGGAAATCACTCTGGGCCCGGAGCCAGGCCCCAGGGCTGGGAATCCCAGCCTCTTGTCTGGGTAGAACGGCCTTCTGGACAGCAAGGAGCCCCCCAACTGAGGGCAGGCCTGCAGCCCCTTCCAGCCCAGCCAGGCCAATCCCCCCATCAAACAGACCAGCCTCATCTTGCACAGAGCGCCTGCCAGTCTCAGGCTCAACTCTTGTCCAGTGATGCTACCTTCAAGAGGGCCTGGTGAGTACCACTTCCTGGGCTTTTCTAGGAAAATCCAGAGATGCTGGGGGGCAGAGCTGTGGTAGCCACATCCCTTTGGCCTGGTCTTGACCCCTAGACAAAAGGATCTGTCCTCTTCCCAGCTGACCTCATGGCCCTTGGACTAGCAGGCCCTGGACGTGAATTGTTTGCAACTGGAGGTGGGGTGGTGGATGCTGACACCGAGTCTGAACCATCTCAGGAGGGTTGCTGGGACTGGATGAGGGATCATGGTAGGGGAAAGAAAGGGAGCAGAGAGGGAGATGAGAAAGGAAGGAGGAAAGGATGGGGGATGGAGGAAGGGAGGGAGGAAGGGAAGGAAGTCAGGCAGACCTTCTCCAACCTGTGTTTGTGCCTTTTACACCATCACCATGTTCTCCCCCTCCTCCTCCATCTCTTTCTCCCTCAAGGAGCCAGGCTTGCTGATGGACAGATGGACCCATGGACAGACAGATTTGCCTGGAGCACACACATGAGCTCCTGTTACAGCCTCGGTTCTGACCCTGACCCTCAGAAAACAGGACGCCCTGGAGAACGGTCTCATTTGGGGGTGTTATCATAACCCTCGAAGAAACAAAAAGAAACAAAAGAAGTTCTATTTCTTTCCCCAAATTCCTTTTCTTGTGAATAACTCTGCAGAGTAAGACAGGCAGCTGATAGAGTCAACGTCCCTTCACCGGTTCTAAAATGCATCTTTCCATCGAGGGCTGTGCTTTCCTACACTTAGCCCCAGCTTCAGCATCCCCAGGGACAGATATCCATGTTCATTCTAGACATCTTGGGGGTGAGGGAAGGCTGGAATGCTGCAGGCTTTTCTTTATAGCAGCCCTGCTTGGAGAATCAGCATTTTACAGGTAAGGCCACAGAGGCTCTGAAAGTTGAGTGCCTGGCCCACCGTCACACAGCGACTAGCTCCCATGTCTGCTGGTGGCCAGGAAGGAGGTTCCCCAAAGTCTGAGATCTTGGCCCAGAGCCCACCCCAAGACTCCAGCCCTTGAGAGCCGCCAGACCTGCCTTATAAGCCCAAAGGCCGGATGGCCGGCTCGGGCACTGGGCCGGGCCTTGTAGGGAGACAAGGCATTGCTGCCAAGTGCTCGGCCCCAGGATGGCCTCCCCTGCCTGGCTAAATTTAGCGGCTCTGTGAACATGGAGGGGGCCTGATGCCTGTCCTGGAGGCCAGCCCAGGCCCTCAAGGGGGTCGCACAGGCTCCAAAGAGTCTTCTTGGCCATTCAGCGTCCCAAGGTTGCAGAGGCCACACCGCCGCCCAAAGAGGAGCTCAGCCCAAGCTCCCCAGACCATCTGGGCCAGTCTCAGGTGTCCCAGGGACTCACATGGTGCCTCAGCCTCTCAGACACTGGCTAGAACATGGACCTGGGCTGGTCTAACTGGACTGTCTGGGGGACATGTGGGGAGGGCAGGCATCCATGCGGAGGCCACAGCAGGGGACCCCAGGCTGGCTTCTCCCCACCACCTGGACCTTACATGGCTTCTCCAGCCTCTTCTATCCCCAACTATGGGCCATGACCCGGCTGGAGCCCCTCTGCCTGTGTCTGAGGCATCACAGCCGCCTGGTTCTCCTCCATGCTTTGGGGTCATTTCCCCTTGGCCTTCAGCCTCTTTCTGCCCCTGGAATGTGGGGTGATTTGGGGCTGGCCTGGGTCCCTGCACTGCACATTTCGCAGGCACACACCCAGAGGTCCATGTCAAGCTGATGCTGAAGATGCTACACCCACAGCGACCACGTACCCACTACCCACTCTGGCCCCCACCTCTTTTTCTTCTAAATCAAACTCCATTAGGGTATAAATTTGTTGTTGTTGTTGTTCAGTAGCTCAGTTGTGTCCGGCTCTTTGTGACCCATGGACTGCAGCCAGACGCGCCTCTGTCCATGGGATTTTCCAGGCAAGAATACTGGAGGGGATTGCCACGCCCTCCTCCAGGGGATCTTCCCGATGGGGATGGAACCCAGGTTTCCTACATTGCAGGTGGATTCTTTACCATCTGAGCTACCTTACATGCAATCACACATACCCACTTTAGTCACAGTTTGATGAATTTTGACAAGTGCCTGCGACGCACCGCCCTCCGCAGTCCATCACTCTCGTACCTTCCTCCTGCCCCTTTGCTGTCGATCTTCCCCGGCTCCCAGTCCAGCTCCGTGGCTCTGTTACTAGATTTGTTTTGCCTTTTCTAGAATTTCACAGAGCTGGAGTTGCTCAGTATGGGCTCTTTTTTGGTTCTGATTTCTTTTCCTCAGCACCAGGGTTTTCAGCGTCATGCCTTCTGTTGCATAGATGGGTGCACTGATTTTTATTGCTGGGGGGAGTGGGTGTTGCCGTTCCACTGCATGGACACACCACAGTTTGTTTTTCCTTCCCCCGTAGATGGATGTCTGGGTTGTTTTAGTTTGGGGCCACGGTGAATACAGCTGCTGTGGACCCTTGGATTCAGGTCTTTGTGTGGACACGTCTTCATTTTCTGTGTTTGCTCTTCCACTTCTCCCAAAGCAGCCCCAGTGGGCCTCCCTCCCACATGTGGTGTGTAGTGGGGGTGGGGGGGCATAGAAGCACAAAATCCTGGCCTCTGGAGGAAGCAGGGGGAAGCAACGGGTATTTTGGTGGCTGCCATCCCTGATCCAGAGTGAAGGATGCTGGGGCTTTCCCCGGAATTCCCTCCTGGGCCTGCGCCCGTGAGGTAGGAAACCTCTGTTTACCTTGGCCGCCCCGTCTTGGCCCATCAGGCTCCATGCCGTGTGCTGGACAAGGCCGGACTTGGGCAGGCCTGAGGGGCGGGGGCAGAGCACAGCAGGCTTGGCCACGCGCCCCAGAGGCTGCTGGGAGCCCTGAGCCCGCCTGTGTCCTGAGCAGACCCCCAGGCCCATCATAGGGCCGCTCACTGCCTGTCTGTCAAGATGAGGGCCAGTTAGATGATCAGGCCAGACAGAGCCCTGCCTGGCCCACCTCATGCAGCTGGTTGAGGACGCCCGAGATGAGGTGTATGTAAAGGCTCTGTGATCTGAGATGGACTGTGTACAAGGGAGAAACCTGTTTATTCCCAGATCCTGCTGCAAGCTATATGTCAAACCCTGTCCCCCGGATAAAACCTGGCATCTCCTAAAGCTGGGTACTGCCTGCTCTGGTCATGGCCAGCTTCCTGGATACCCCATTCGTGCTTTGCACAGGGCCCTCTTACTCAAAGGAGACCTGTATGTGTGGTTTCTTGCTCTGTGGCCACTGCTAAGAAATTCTTGGAGACTTTCCTGGTAGTCCAGTGGTTAAGACTTCGCCTTCCAATGACTGAGGTGTGGGTTTGATCCCTGCTCGGGGAGCTAAGATCCACATGCCTCAGGGCCAGAAAACCAAAAAGTGCAAAACAGAAGCAATATGTGGCAAACTCAATGAAGACTTTAGATATGGCCCACATCAAAAAAAGAAAGAAAAGAAGCTCCTAATCTTTGAATAAGAGGCTCTACATTTTCACTCTGCACTGAAGCCCACTGGTTACAGAGATGGTCCCACCTCTGACCCTGTGGGCAGGGCCCGAGTCCCCGTTCCAGGGCAGTGAGTCCTCCTTTCAAAGGAGAAAATGAGCGAGGCAGGGGACCCTGGCTCTTTCCTTCCCAGAGCCCCCGGTCCTGGAGGGCAGGGCCATCTGGGCGAGTCAGTTCATGGCAAGCAGCCTCATGAGGCCCCTGGACAGTGTGAGCCTCAGGAAGTCTTGGGGGGATGCATTCGGGTGGGGCTGGTAAGGACCAGAGATAGCCAGTACCTGGGGGAGAGGCAGGACCCATGGAACAGCTGGGGCTGGGGGTCACCTCTGTGGGGAACAAGGGACCCCTAATATTCAGGCTCCAGGCCCAGTCCTGCTTCCCGTGGACACCTCCCGGCCTCGTTTCCCCATGAATCATGTGTAAAGGCCTTTGATCAAGTGCGCAACTGTCGAGTGCTATGCACCTGAGAAGGCAGTCACGCCAGAAACTTGGCTCCAGAAATCAGGGTCTCCCCTGCCCTTTGTCTGACGAGATCTCCGGCTGGGGGTGTGGGAGCCCCAGATCTTACTCACGGATCCTGGGGGAGGGGGCACAGGCGGTGGGAGCCCCCAAGGGACGTATGGAGGGGGCAGAGCGGGGCCCGCTCCCCAGGAAACAGAGTGATGACCCTCACGGCCCCAGACACCCGGCCTTTATTTCTGTAGCAGACTGCAGGTCAGCAGGTGGGTACAGGCCCCTGCCCCCCCTCACCGCCCTCCTCCCCTACAAAGACAGGGAGACTCTGGGTTCTCTCACTTTCAAGAGAAAGGAGGGCAAAGTCTAGGAGGAGAGGCCGCTGAATGTTGAGCCCATTTGTCTGCAAGGCAGGCCGAGGGGGCTTTTGATTCTGGGGACCAGGACGGGATGTGGGTCTTGATTTACATATAAAATAATCACTCTGTACACTCTCGAGGAGGGGCGAGGACGCAGTCATTGCTCACTGCTTCTTCCGTATCAAGCTAATCTTTGCTGGAGGGGCAAAAAATGAGTGGAGAGAAACATGTGTGTCCCTTGAATGCTTTCATCCCTCCATGAAGGTGATCCAGGTGCACATGGGTCCCTCCAGCAAGGACGGAGAGAGGAAATGTGCCCTTGATAACCAGCCATTCTTAGTTATGACACCTGTCTAAGGTGTCTTAGACAGCCACCCTTTTGGCTCATGGTTGTGTTTGGGGGGGGGGGGGCAGGGGCAAAGACTAAGGCCAAGGACCACCCGGCCAAGCAGAGGTGGAGATGGCTGAGCCCTGGGCTGGGTGGCAAGGCACAGTGTGCAGCGATCCCAAGGAGGTCTCGGGTCTCAGGCGGCAGGAACACAGAAGGCAACTCCATCCTCTGCTTGGTCAGGCAACACAGAGATGGCGTGTTTCGTTTGCTCAGAACAGAGAACCCTGAGTCTGGAGCTGAGGCAGGCAGGCTGGCCATTTCCCAGGAAAGGGGGATCCCTGCTCTGCCCCCCTCCCCCACTGTGCCTTCTCTGTGTCTTCAGCTCCCTGCATGGATAAACAGAAACAGGCTCAAGCCCTCGTGAGTTCCGAGGAAGCAGAGTGGAATGGAAGGGGCTGTCTGTCCTCGTGTGCACGGCTGGGTCCGGATGTCCCCTCTTCACCCTGGGGCCAACCAGGCCCCAGACCAGGCACTCACTAAGAGTGAGATCAGAGTGGTTCCCAGAACTCCATCAGTGTAGACACGCCTGCAGGTCGCTAAGGGCATGCCCCGCCTCCAAGCAGGGAAGTGCTCGAAGTGTGAGTGTGTGTGCTTGTGGATCCGGGGAGGAGGGCTCCGGGCCAGCTCCGGCCTCTGGGCAGGCCCCTCGCAGGCTGCAGATCCTGGACTAGAGCCCAGAGACCTGAATCACAGAGCCCCCAGGCAGGCGGGAGTGGGAATGGAGACCCCAGGCCAGGCCTGGCGGTGAGCCCAGTGAGCAAGCAGGCGAGTGTGCAGGCGGGTGGGTGTGGGGGATGGGGGTGGAGGTGAACGCTTGGGCACCATCACTCTGAGGTACACGCTGAAGACTCCACTCTGCTCCCCGCACTCACTTCTGGTCCTTGTCTTCTAGAAGAAAACCCGAGAGCGTGTGAAGATGTACGTTTGGGAGCACATATCCAGGCTGGCTCCTCTGGGCCCCTTCCGGCCTCCTCTTCTCCCAGGAGAGCCCCACTCTCCCACAACATCTCTCGGTCAGCCCCCAGCCCTGCTACATCCCTCTGGACATCCCTGGGACCTCCTTCACCCCAGGTGCTCCATCAACACCCCCAGAGCATCCGATGCACCTTTTCCTCTTGGTTTCCAGCTTGGTGAACCACCACCCACCAGGACGAGGTCCGGGAACCAAGGCCACCCCGACGTCTCGTCCATCTCTCGTCCTCTGCTGACTCAAGGCCTCTCACCAACACTCTCTTGCCCCTGGCATCATGCTACAGACCCAGTCCATGCCCCCTTCCATGGCTCCCTAACCGCCATCAGAATAAACCCTAGGCCCACCTCGCATCTTGAACCCTCCCAGATCGGTCCACACTCAATCTCTCCAGGCCTCCCGGCCCCCTCAGTGAGGCCCACAGGCCTCCGCCCAACAGCTCCTTAGCCACACCTGGGCAAAGCCAGGAGGTAAGGCAAGAGGACACTCCACAACCTCCCGGGGCTGACCCAGCAACCCCAACAGTCCTCTGCGGGACATACTCCTCGTAAATCGTGGGGAAGTCATGAGCATCAGTCCTCTGCAAAACTTCCCTAAAAGGCCACCAGGCTGGCTTGGGAACATAACAGGGTCTCCCGTCTCATCCCCGCCCTGGCTGCCTTTAGGAGACCCAAGGGACTGCGGCCGCACGGGGCAGAGCTGTCTGGGTGCCAGCGGGCACACTCCACCCCATCTCTCTGAAGTGGGCACAGATGCCCAGTCTGCAGGCCCCACGCCACTCCTGACAGCCAAGCATCACACTCACAAGCCAAGCCTCACCGGGACCACAGTCAACATCTCGGGTTTCTGGTGGAGGTGGAGGCATTGCCTGGGACCAGCTTACCCTGGGCCTCAGTGTCTCCCCTCCCAGACCAGCTCTACAGGCCCCAGCAGCCTCCCTACCTCTAGCCTCGTCCCCCACCTGCCCTCCGTGGTGATCCCAGTTCTTCCTATGCCTCCACCCTTCTGTGGCTTCCACTTCCCTGAGGACAATGTCCAGGGTCCTTACCTTGATATCCGAGGCCCCTGTCCCACTTTGGCCTCACCCCTGTACCCTGCACTCTGAGTCTCAGCCCCACTAAAGAGCCCAGTTCCTTCTCCGCCAAGTTCAATCCTCCCATTTCAAAC